TCTGTCAAAAAAATAAAAAAAACTTTAAAAAAAAAAAAAAAAAAAAAAAAAACTTGGCAGGAAAGCTGCTCCTGACGACGACTTTGCCTTGCGGGGAGGGGCGGCTGCCGCTTCCCCATGCGGGTCTCGGAGCGGACCGGCTCCGTGTCTTCAAGGCTGTTCCTGGTAAGACAAGTTCAAGGGTGGCCACACTTTCCGCTCCCTATCCCACGGACACTCGCAGGGACGGGGAAGGCGGGCGCGAAGAGCCACCACCAGTACTGTCGCTGTCGTCCCCGGCAATAAGTGCTCCGTGCGCTCACGTGTGACACCGTGTCGAGGTCCGGCACTCACCACCTGGTTTGGTCCCCACGGCGGCACCATGAAGCTCCAGTTCCCCCATTTGGAAGGCAAGGGGACTAGGCAGGGAGAGAGCCTGAGTCGCCCGACCCAGGGCACGAGCAGGGGAAGTGGCGCATCACCGACTCCTCGTCACCGTGTGGCCCTCCCTGGCTTGGCGCTGACGACACGAGGGGCCACTAGAGTACTAGCCAGGAGGGACTCTCGGTAGTTATTTAACAACCGCTGAACAGCCGGGGGCGACAGGCACAGCCAGTGACGGGGCAGAGGCCTTCAGAATTGAAAAAATGCCGCAGACGGAGTCTGCAAAGCCCCCAGTCAAGCCTGGGGTAAAGCGTTTGTGACCACTCACACGGGGGGTCCGGCACGCACCCTCTCCAGGAGGATGTTTACTTGCTGTAGAGGACGCACTGTGTCTCGAACTTTGGCTCTGGGGCGCCCCGAGGCCAGGACCCAGGGGAGCCAGCCCCTGCGCACCCCTGCGGTACTGACCGCAGCCCGTCGAGCACCGGCCGCGCGCACACAGCCAGCGGCCAGCAGCCAGGGCTAAGAGCGCCTTCGTTTCAGACCGTTTGCCCATTTGGTAAGATCAGGTAACGCTCAAGAAGGCTGGTGAGAGAAAACGTATACAAATAAAACAAAACTGCATTTCCTTTAAGAACAGTCAACAATTCAGACTGTCGTTCCTCGACCAATTTTAAGAGGAGGGAGGCGAGAACAGAGAAGCAGTTACTGGCTTCCTGGTAAAGGCGATGTCCCAGATGTTTCTAGGCACTAAGAAAAACATCAGAAAGACACAGGTGGCAAAGCCGGGTAGACAAGTCTTAGGCAGCTACAGACTAAACTGTTTGGGGAAGAGGAGCGCTTTCATGGTTCCTGCACATAACTCACACGAGAGAGGGTGGTTACAACCCACAGACTCGCTCTTCCATATTGTCAGGGTGGCTCTGAGACCGTAAGGCGCTCGTTCTGCTCTTGAACCATTCTCCACGGTGTCAGACAGGTGAGGGATCCGCAGCCCTCCGAGGCACGCCTGCTCACGACGGGTGTGCGGCTGCCTTCACAGACACACACCCTGGCAAACACGGCAGCTCCGCCCTCCCGCAGCAGACAGTACCGGGCCTCCGTGTCTCCGGGGAAGATGGAAATTCTGGAAGGTCTGTTACCTTTGCTTCTCTGAAGCAAGTGCTGAGTCTACCAAGCTTCAAATCGGAACCGCATTTTGTAGGGGGAAAGGCTGTGTTTGTGACGGATGTTGCTAAGGGGCCACTCAATATTTTACCACCAGCACGACTCCCTGTGCAGCTGTGTGTGTCAGGGTCCAGGGTGGGGGGCGGCTCTGACAGGTCCGCATGTAGGTGTCAGGAGAGTTTTGTAACTATGACTGTATTTGCGTGCCGGGGAGAAACGCCTCGTGCTCCCTGTCACCGGCAAGGACGCAAAAGGAGCCACAGACCTGGTGATTAAGATCTCATTTGGGGACACCGTTTCTTTCCCTGAAGACTGGTCAAGTGGAGGAGCAGAAGCACAGATGAGGTGACCCTCCTGGTGCCGTGGCAGGGAAACAGGTCCCTGAGCTCACAGGCCCTTGGTTTGCATTTCTAACACCCAAATTCCTCGTCTGGTGCACGGCAAAGCAAGACAGGATTTTGTGCAGCGTGAGGTGGATTTGGTTTGCAGGTATCCGAGGTTCGCACGAACACAGAACTACTCCAGGCAGTAAACCCCATCAAGTGGAATGTGGCATAATTTGGCGAATTTAGGGCTATTACTTGATCCATCTACACAAAGCACAGGGAACGACTCTCTTTCTTGACAGATGGACTTCAGAGGAGACGCCTGAGCTCAGAACAATCACTGTGGCCACAGCATAACTCTCTGCACTTCGTGGGCTTTGACGGACTTTTTCTTCCCAGCGCTCAAAAAGCAGCAACTGGCAGTTGCTTGAGCCCTGACTGAGGTGTGGAAAATCTGTCACGTTTTCTCTGCCGCTTACCCTGACCACGATTATACGGTCCGTGTGCAGATTAGCTGCAAAGTCATTCTTCTTGGGAGTGACAAGATTTCCCCAAATGAGAAAAGGTGACTGCCGTACCCCCGAGTGTCTGTCTGCGTTAGCGAGGCAGGGGTGGGGTGCGAGGGTGTGAGAGTGTGGAGAGAAATGCCTTCAAAAGAAGGGCATAACAACCCCAAAAGTAGCTGTAACGGAGTGGTGACATGGCCAGAACAGAGAGCTGTATTGTCACGGGCGGAGTAATCCTGTGACACACTGCTGTCACTCACCACCCGGCTCCCTGCCGCGCCAGCCAGACATCAAAGGCCACCCCATACCGTCTTACATGCTCTTTATCGGTTAATCAGCCCATTCTTCCCTAAATAAAGCCCTGTTAAATCCCCTGCTCACAGGGGTATAGTAGTCCTGGTGCCCATCTGCTAGCAGGGTCAGCCGAAGCAGGAGGCGGCGGCTTGCTCTCTCCCTAGTGGCTTCTCAAGGTAAGGACAATGCTGGCTCCAAGTCCCCCTCCCAACTGCCTCCCTGCCTTGCCGCTCTGTTTTCTAGGATCTGGGGAAGAGCTGAGGACATCCCAGTCTGAAGAGCTGCTATCTGGATTAACACTTGCTAATGAAATTCCCGGTCATAAAGGTACATCAGCTGCAAACAATAAAATACGGGAACCACGTTTATCTGCGGGGAGAGGAAGCAGCAAAATACGCGTTTCCCACCAGTAATCAGCTGGCAGGCACATTCCCATCTTCTCGCAGTGCCGACATCTTAGAGACTGTGGTAAGATGGCCTGGCTTCCAGATCACTGGGAGGTCACCCTCGGACCCGACCACAGGCCTCACACACTCACAATCAAAGTCAGCCTGGAGAGCCAGCAGCTGCCTCCAACCCTGAGGCAACCTGAGGCCGGCGCACCATCATGCCTGGGAGTGGATGTGAGGCGTCTTCTCCCTCTAGGAGGACGGGCAGAGAAGTCGCTGGCTGCAGCCCTGCCCAGAACACGTAGCAGGGGTGGCAGGCAGCGCCCTGCACCTCAAAACCGCCTGGAAGAAACCAGAGCCGGTGTGTCTTAGTCTTGTCTGGGCATGGATGAAAGCAGCGATGAGGAGAACGACTTGCTTCACAGAATTACTGGAGGATAGGCCTATAGGAGAGGTGTTAATATAAGAAAAAAAGCAACCCTCCTAAAAATCCCCAGGCCGGCAGTAGAATTAGGTGAATTTTATCCGTTACAAAGAGCCTTGTAGGTGCCAAGTCCCGGAGCAGGAAACTGGATGTTCCAGGCTATTAGCCCACCTGGTTGCCAGGTCTGCGTTCTAAGGTGCTTCATCTGTAGGACCCGCCCTTGTGCTGATTCTCAAAACAGTCCTGGGCAATCACTAAAAACATCGACTTCCTTCTCCCTTTTGTAGCTGGGGAACCTGAGGCTGTGGGAAGTTACGCAGAAATGCGGCCCAAAGCCCAGTGGCTCACATCACAGTGGCACAGCAGCTGAGTTCAAGTCCCCTGCACGCAAGGCCAGCGATCACGTCCCCGCACCGGGCGGTCCTCTCTCCCTTTTGTCGCCGCACCCCGGAGAAGTCAGGTGCGGGCGAGGACAGTGGTGGCCAATGCGCAAGTCGCCGCCGTGCGGGACGCGCAGGAAAAGTGCACAGGTTCTCCGTGAGGGCAGGTGGACTTGGCATTTGTAATTAATAAGCAAAAAGAATGACACTCCACACAAAATAACTGCCCAGAGCGTTCAAGGGTTCACGGCCCCCCCCAGTGTCTGTTCCATCTATCTTCCCACCCACGTGCTACACAAACTCCCCCTAAAAGCAGCCCGTGGGATCTGAAGGATTCTGGTTCCTGCAAAGTGGCTGGGCTGGTATTAAAGGCACACCTTGGCTCTGAGCAGAGAAAGACCTTTTGCAAAGGTATTTCGTGGAGTTTCAGGACCTCCTGAAACTGTGGAGCCCAGGCTTCACCCTACAGGGCAGCCCTCCTCCCTCCTCCGGAGGACCTCCGGATAGTTGGGAACATGCTTTCCGCCAGCGTGCCTGGCGCTTGCCCCTCCGTGTGCTCAGCACCAAGGACAGTGACATGGTGTGGGGCATCCAGTGGGGGCCCCTGGAGCCTGCCTTTCAGGGCCCACCCAGCCAGCAGGAGAAAGGCATTAAGCTGGAACACGCCGCTCCTCCCAGCTCACCAGGACGGGGCCAGGCAGATTTCACAGAACACGCCAGAAGTTTTCGTACAAGCCCTGGAGAACTTTCCAGGGTGAACCACACAGCACATCTGAAGTTTTGACTTTAGCGAGTCCCCAAGTCACTCTGCTGGTGGGCAGGGAGGACAACCCCACAGGTTTGTCTTGCTGCCCCAGTAATATCCCCACAACATCTGGACCCGGCGGAAGACCCCACTGCATTTCTGCGGGTGCCTTAAAAACCTTCAGAAAAGGTGTTTCTCCTCTGGGTCCAAGCACTGACTACACTGAGAGAGGGGCAGACCCCGGTGATGATTTACCACAAGGACCAAAGAGGGAGGAGCTTACACCGAGCGCACAGCAGCCTTGCACGTCCCCTTCCGTCCCATCCCGGCTGCCGCCGTGCGCGGAGCTCTCCACACCCACCTGACTCCCAGCCGTTTGTCGCAGGGCAGACTCCACTCATCTTACCTGCTCAGGTTTGCTTTCCTTCTCTTCACAGCTGTGACACCAAGATTCTGGGGGGCATCCCTCAGCCCGAAGCTCTTGGCCACGTGGCCGAGGTGCAGTGACCGGACATGGAAGATGGGCTTCAGCTCCCGGGGGTAGGTGGCGTAGGCACGGATGAAGGCCTGCAGAGCTGGGAGGAAGAAGGGTCAGAGAGGCCGTCAGGATGGGGGCTCGGAGCGCCCCATGTGCCCTGGCCTGGCGGCCGTCCTACCCACTTTATCTTGCCGGACAATGCGCGACATACAGCCCAGACGGTGCCACATGTAAGAACCACCCAAATCTTAACTTGTGTTTTTTGTTGTTTTTTTTTTTTAAATTCCTCAAAAAATAAACCGAGAGGACACAAGTATTTGTTGACTAAACCCAATCTATTTTCAGATTTTACTGTGCAGCGTGTCCCCACCCTGGACGGCAGGGGGCCCGTTTTCTCCCCCGTCACAGGCTTGGGGCCTTCCTTGCATGGTAGCTGGGACACAGCAGGCAGCTGGTAAGTGTTTGTTGTATCAATGAATGAAAAGCAGAACAAGTGAAGAAACTAGGACATGGTCAGTGTGGCATTCTCATGAAAAACGAGATCATTAGAACTTTACGTCACAGAAACATTTTCCTAATTCATTTTCACTTATTTTTTTGCATAGCTAATACATGCCCATGTTATAAAATTCAAAAGGTTCCCAAGGCTTTACTGCGCTTGTCATTCTGCTTACCGCCACGCCGTGTTGCCGGGGCTGTAAGACTGCTCTCCCGCAGGCCCCGCCTCCACCCGCCCCTCCACAGGGCCGGCTGCCATGTCCTTGTGGACTGCCAGGATTTTGAAACCAAATTCATTCTAAAGCACCTAAGATTTACTGATACAGTGCTCCTTACCCATTTGAAAACTGCATAAAAAAGGCAATGAAAACAGAATCCTAAAGAGGAGGAAGGCAATTATTAAATTCCTAAAACAGCCCACAAAATGGTCCCTCCTCCCTGAAGCACTGCCAACAGTCTAGAGACGTCCGTCCGACGGTGCATCATGGAGGTTTCGGTCCTGTCTTAAAGTTAAGGCAGTGGCGCCCCTGTTCAGGAGCCTGGCGCTCCCAGAGAACAGGCAGACCTGGTTCTTGGGAGTGGGGAGCTCGGGCTACACCTTATCTCGGTATTCCTTTGAGGAAAGGGAGACGCTCCTATACCCAGTTCCTCTGGAAAGTACCGCCGTTCCCATGACAGTGTCTGCCCTTCTCACTGCAACGGGGCAGGAGGGGGCTCCGAGGGGCCCCAAGCCCAGCACCGCTCCCTTCCCTTTCGAGCCCGGCTCTCCCGCTGGCCAAGCCGGAGCCCAGCACCACGCGTCGCATGGAAAAGCGGGCGCTAAACACCAGCCTCGCTCGCCCTCGCCTGTCGAGCCACTGGACTGGCAAGTTTGCCCACAGCTTAAACGTAATATCCCAGCAGCACCTGGAGATTGGCGTTTATGAACAGTAATAAAAAGTGTCATTTTAGCAGATCAGCTCCTGGAAGGATCCTGGGAATCCATGAAAGCTCTATTTACTGAGTAAAGTGAACTCCTTTTCCCAATCGATGAGAAATAATAACCAAGGCAACTCCCTGCACCCCGCCGCCAGCCTGTGTGCACTCTCCCCTGCACCCTGCCGCCAGCCTGTGTGCACTCTCCCCTGCACCCCGCTGTCAGCCTGTGTGCACTCTCCCCTGCACCCCGCCGTCCGTCTGTGCTCACTGTCCTTTTTAATAACCGGGGACTCGCTTTTTCAGGAGAAATCTTCAACACTTCACATGGCCTACAGGTTCTGACACTGGGTTCCAGACACAAGAGCTGCATAGTCCTGTCCTCGGGAAAGCGCCACGGCCACCGCCCCGGGAGGAGCAGGCCTCTTCTCCCCACGCCCCACCCCTTTCCCTCCCAAGCCTCAACCCTGACTCGAGGTCTAACGAAGCGGACAGCAGCTCCATCAAGCCAAGCCAGAGACTCCGCACCTGTACAGTCTCAGTGGCCCAAGGGCCGGCCCAGGCCCCCTCATGCATACCACTCTCCCCAGTAAGCCCATCAGCCCCCTATTCCTGCACCAAACGGAAGAGCTGAGGTTGGGGAGCCTCTGTCCCCAGACACACAGCTGCCCAGCCAACAGCTCTACAGGTGGAACGAGTTTGCCAAGAAAGGGCAGACGGGTCTTCTCCCGCCACCACTGCTCACGCAGCATTTGGCGCTGCCTATTTTTACTAACCCTCCTTGTCCTCGCAGCTCCTGTCTTCCTGGGGCCAGCGACACCTGGCTGTCCTCACATCCCTGAATGGCCTCCCATGTTTGGATGGTCTAGGGAAGCAGGAATTCCTGCAGAAGCTGCTCGCAGAGGCTTCCTGGGGGCAATGTCGACAACGTGCCGTGGGAACAGGGGCTGTGGGGCCCAGAGGAGCGGAGAGCAGAAGAAGAGGGCGTTCAATGGGGACGCCGCAGGATGCCGCGGTCCCTGAGAGGGGTGCCCTGGAGTCACGGGCTCTTGTCTCATAGTTGTAAGGGAAATCTACTTCAGCCTTGTTCCTAAAGTCAGAGTTATTGGCCATCTGGTCAGGAACAGCAGTCTCTTACGGATGATACTTGAGGTCAGAGAGGAAGGGAGGAGAGACACTTGTCCCAGCCCTCCTGACACACGGTACAAAGCGCTTGTCTGAGCACCTGCCCGCCTGCAATCACGCCGAGGGAGGGAGGGAAGGAGCTAATCTGTCTTCAGTGGCTTGGGTGTTCTTGACTTCGAGAAGCAGCCCCTCCAGGGCAGGCACGACTCCTCTGCACGTGGCCCCCGAAGCCGGAGGGGCCTCACTGCAGGAAAGCAGAGGTTCGTAGGTAAAGAACTCGTTTCTGAAACTTGTCTTCAGGAGTCCGGAGTGCAAACTTCTGTCGGCACAGTCTTTAGCCACTTGACTCTAGCTAAAGGAGGCAAGAGATGAGGGGGAAGGGTGACTGCTTCGGGAAACGGATAACAATCCCACGCTGGTTATGAACAATGACTGGGTCAGGAAATGCAAAAGGAAAACAAAGGCACACGTACTTGGCCCAGTTTCTAACTAGTTTTCTGCCATAAAGGCAAAACGCAGCTGCTTTGTTAATTATTCATGAGGTGGGCTCTGGAACAGCCCATAAGGGAGGCCGGTCAGTAGCGGGGAGTTTGCATATGCAGACTGAAAGGCAGAGACGGTCTGGACCTGTGAGGTGTCCCGTGTCGTGAACTGAACGGCCCCTGCCACGGGCGGCTTCCTCCCGGACCATCACCAGTCTGAGGTGGGCGTCAACTGGCAGAGAGAAATGCCCATCTCCTTCCTTCCTGGCGCCTCAACCGAGCCGAGCGGCCCCGCCCTGACATCCCTCGGGTCACTCAGCTTGTTTCTTGGCATGACCGACCGCTGCGGGCGCGCCGCGAACGAAAGCGCTCGACCACGCTCAGGTCGCCTCGCTTTACTGACGGCCAGACGCGCTGAGACAGTCCTAGTGTCTCCAGGAGATCCAAAACCACCTCTGACCTCAAAACCAACGACGAAAACGACGGCGTGGCCTTGAGTTCTTCCTTTCCATTGCCACTCGGTCACGAACCAAGAAATCCTGGGCACGACACCCTGTGGCGCACCCCCAGCAAGCTCCCTGTGCCTGTGAACAGACACCCAGCATCTGTCGCCCCGCCGTGACAGATCATCTACTCCTCTTGAAAGGCGCGAGCTGGTGCTTCTCTGAACGTGGTTCCGGAGGAAAACCCTCAGGAACTGTGGACTTCGCCGGAGGGAATGTGAGCACAGGCGACTAGGAGAACGCGGTCCGGAAGGCTGCACGCTCGTTATATGTCTGGTCACGGGGCCATCCCCAGGATTTCATCTTCCGCCCTACACAGTTCTGGTCTGTTCCAGGGTGATGGCAGCAACCCAGGGCTACCTACATAGTGTGCCAGGGTATACAGGAGGCACTCAGAACATGTGCCGACCAACCCATTCTTGTGCTCGATTTCCTGATGACCACAACTATCTGGAACCAGTCCCCGAGCACTCACCGTTGCCCCCCATCTGTTCTCACACCGACCATCTTTTCCAACCTCTGTGGGCCATGCCACATCTCTCCTCCAAGTCCTGCAATGGCTCCCACTGCCCTTGGGGTCCCCCCAAATCCTTGACAGCTTCCAAGTCTCCTCTGTTGCATGGGCCCTCCCCTCCTCTGGCCACACTGGCCTCCCTCCCTGCCCCCGAACTCCTCTGGGCCTAGCACGCCCTTCTGTCCACATCCCTTCTGTTAGTAGTATGTGATCCTCAATCTGCTCGAGCTGCCTTCAGAGCAGGGCTCACCCTGACCCTCTGTATAAAAGGCACTCTGACCATTCACTCCTTCACCTCCCTCGCCTGCTGTGTTTCCTACAGTTCTTGACACCTTTGAAAAGATTTATTTATTTATTTATTTATTTACACTATGCTCACTGTCTGCCCCCCCACTAGAGTGTTAGAGAGGTTAGGGTTTCTGTTTTGATTCCTGATGTATCCTGAGCACCCAGAACGGTGACTAATTCAATAACTATTTGTTAAATGAACGGTTTTTTGTTTTTTTTGTTTTTTTTAATTTTCAATTTCTAAAAGGAAAAGCTGATGCTGTGGCGTCCACATACCGGTAAGCCAGCCTGACATTCTTCTCAAAGTAGCAGGTAACCAGCAGAAAGCAGCAAGGAGCCCCAGCACGGACTGCATCTCACCGGCACGTGCGGCACACTCACCAGCCATGGCACGCGGCACACCGCCATAAGAAACATCCTGCTGTTCTAAGCCCCTTCCTGTGTGAACTGCTGAGTCCCCACTAATGCCTGGTGATCCCAGGAGCCACGTTATTCAATAAGAGGGCCTGAATAGTAAATGAACACCTAGCTCTCCTGGAAATGCCCTAGGAATTGGGTTCAAGGTCTAGGCCTTCCCTTGGTACTGTTCTCTCTCATACTCCTTTGTATGACCAAACCAAGACTGCTCAGGTCTAATGCTTCTGGTCCTTACCTTCATCTCCAATTTCCATGCCTACAACCGTCTCTGCTGACATGTCACGTCTCATCTATCCAGTTTTCAAAGAAACACAAAAATGGATCCCTGAGATCCAAGTCACTGGGTCAAAGTTCTCGTCCTATGTAAGCCAAGATAAAGCCTCATTTGTGTGAAACATGGGGAAGGATGAAATTAGCATTTAATATCGCTTTAAAGCCTTCTGTGCCTGCTTCTAGACCTTGTGGAACAAAGGAGGCCGAAGGCTTTTGTTGGAGAGCAGAGACCCCCAGTTGGCCTCTTAGCCTGTCGGGGGTCTGCGGGTGGAGGTGGGACGGTGTCCTGGGGGCTGTCCGTCCACGAGCACCTACGAAATCCACTGACCTTTCTTTGCCCAGGAGACCCTCCTCTCACTGGAGTGCACGTAATCTTCAAATACCGTCTGCAGGACTGTGGCTCGCTCTCGGATTTCCTGGGGGCCGGCAGCACGGGATTTCTGGGAGGGTGGTGGAAGGATTAAACAAGAGACAGAGTCAGAGTCAGGAATAATGAAGCACTTTATAATAGATTTAATAACAGTAAAATCACCCGGTAACCACTGAGGGGCCAACAAGGGTAATCCTTTCAATATTACTAGAGGAAAAACGGGAGCTATAAGGATGTTAAAGTCAAGCAGAGATGAAGATGGCTTTGTGAGGGAGAAGATCGGGTCTATTTATTTACTTGTTTACTTACTTACTCGTCCTCCTGGCCTCTTGCTCAAAATGAATGCCCACTGGAGACACTCTGGAATTTTCCAAGTCCAATCTGGGCATTTAAAACATCACTGAACACAGGCAGGTTTCACACGACTTGTGTGTCCTACCAAGGCCTTAAATCTTCCCCTTCCCTCAAGCTCCTCAGAGGAACAATGAGACCTTCTCTCTAAGAGGGCCCCACAGGGGCCTGCCTGACACTGAGCCTGTCCTTGAATTTCAGAGCATGCTCCCTCATTCCTGGGGAGGCACAGACTTGTAGTGTTTCAGATCCTCTCTTTCAGCCCGGGACCACAGTGCTGGGCGCCAGGGTCCTGTCACGGAGTGGGGGGGGGGGGCTCCTTCACACCACATTCAGAGAAAACCACACTATCTCCGTAGCAAACATGACATCTGTACGCACTCAGGTTCTACAGACGGAAAACGTTAATAAAAACTCATATCCTTTTCATTCTTCAAAAATCCCAGAGAAAAGATTTCCTTTCCTTATATCCCCCTAAAACTGAGTGTTGTTTCCTATATCCCTTTTTTTCCCCCTAAAGTAAACTCGAAGCCCAATGTGGGGCCTGAACTCGCAACCCTGAGATCAAGGGTCACATGCTCTTCCAACTGAGCCAGCTAGGTACCCGTTTCCTATGTCTGGAAACACGGGTGCTTTCTACTGAACGTGAATCTGAGATCCAAAGAACCCAGATTCTCCAAACTCAACTTGGCTAATACGCCTCCCCCAGACATCGATGCTCTCAGAGATGCTACCCAGTCTCTCCTGTACCAACACCCACTGCCCACGTGGGTCACCAGGAGACAGTGTGAGCCCCAGTCCCCGCTTCCCTTAACCCCGCAGAAGACAGGGTGTCCACACCTGTGTCTGGAGCCTGACCTAGGCTCAGAGTCTCTTTCCCTTTTAAAAGCTGCCAGAGGAAGAACAAAGGGGAGAGAAGAAAAAGCCTCATTCTTTGGGTCCACATCCCTCTCTGTATGAATAGAGACTTTAACAACCGGAAAATGTTTTTAGCTTCGTCAAATCACTCCTGCTACCTGTTTGGCTGATGATAGTCTAGCTGATTTCACAGTACATGGTCCCCTAAGGGTTTTATCCACTCAAATGTCAAGAGAAAAGTCACGCAGGGGCGGTGTTATGAAAGTGGACATTTGCTATCGTCATTAACAAGGATTTTTTTTTTTACCCTCTTAACTGATGTGAAATGCAAACTTTTTTTTTCTTTTTTGCTGCCCTCCTTTCGTTAAGCCACCTCAGCAATGCAACTGCCACCTTCCTTGTGTGTGTGTTTTTTTTTAATATGAATGTGAAATTAGTGAGGATGCCCTTTCCCCTGGCGGACAGAATCCTCTGTTATTAAAAAGTAAAGCACTTTAATAATGAAAACTTTTTCCTCTTTTTCCTGTGTTTTAACTGTTTAAAATTAATGAGAAGGGCAGAATGGTTGTCAAAGCGATATTGAAAGCCGGGCAGCCAGGACCGAATGAGCACAAAAATCCCTCTAGAGTGTTAGATAAACAGAGCTCCAGCCCGCTCGAATCCCTCTGTTGGTTATTGTATACATTCTGTAACAGCTCTCAGAATAGATCTGAGAGCCAGGGAGGCAGAGAGGTTTCAGAATTCCAATAAAGGCCTCAAATTAAAGACAGCCTGGTGCGAATTCCAGGAGAAAATTAAAGAGACCTCAAGCTTAAGTGACAGGTGACTTGCTTCTGTGTCACAACCGTCAGGGGATTTAGTGATAATATGGCAATATATTACAAAGGGCTTTTCTTATTCCCCCTTTAGGTTTCAAAATGAGGCATCTTTTCTTCCCAACCAAAAAAAAAAAAATTACATACACACACATATATAATGTGTGTGTACAAGTGAAATAGGTAGAAAAAAGGCGATAATACTAGGTTCACGCATTTGAAATGAGGAGGTCAGTTTTAGGGAAATATGAGGAAAAGTTAATGCAGAAAACATAATATACTCAAGAAAAAGCATGTCTTTCTCTCTCTACCCCCACTTCCAGAAATACTTTATTTTAAAATTACCCCTCTTGAGAATGAGGTGTTTCTCAGTTGTCTTCCGAGGAGGACAGTCTAAATTTAAACTGAAGACAGGGGCAGAGCCATGCACGCAGCACCAGCTCGGTCCCAGACAGGGAAAACGCTGCCGTAATGAGAGTGGGTCAAAGCCCGGAGGGCGCCCGAGTGCCCTGCGGGACTGGCGCGCCCACCCCTCAAAGAAGCACAGACCCAGTGCTGGTTAATGGTGCTAACTGGCAACTAGTGGACCAGGGCTAGCTTAGGAAAACACGGTTCCAACGGTCCACACTCAGGATTCCTTCGTCCGTAAAGCCCTACTGATCCCGGAGAGAAGAGACGATCAAAGGGACTGACGGAAGGGGCTGCTGATCTCATTTTAGTATCTTCCACGGCCCAATTTTTTTGTTAAGATCCGTTTACAGGCATGTTTCATAGAACAAAAAAAAACTTGTAGAAAAAGCATGTTTGGATTGTGTGCATACTTTGAAGATGAAAATTTCACACCTATCAAGAGGCAACAGAGGAGCTGAAGATACTCGGGCTGCGTTTTTTTTTTTTTTTTTTTTTTCCTGTTGTATAAAGTTGTAGGTGGTAGCGGGGCGGGGGGAGCGTGGCTTTTCTTCTTCTTTTTTTGGTAAGCACATCTTGATATTGCTAAATTCTAAAGTATTTTTAAAACTAAACGGAACGGTTTTGTTTTAATCACCTGATGCCAAGTGGAGTTTCACCCTCACGCTTCCCTAGAACCTTCCGTATGCTTCCCAGTAAAGTTGAAAGATCAAATTTATTCTCTTTGTAGGTGGGTGAGCATTCGCACACCCAGACGTAGCCATATATATTTCATACACCTAAATATGAAATATACATTTTACAGATGCTTCGCTCACTCTCTTTCTGTTCACAGAAGCCCAAAAATGTATGTGCCAAAGGGACATTTACAATGGACTTCAACCGAGCGTGGAGAAGAGGGCCTTAATATAAGGCGTCTGGCTACGTGTGTAAAAGGCCTGTTTACTGAGCTCACATTTATCTGTCTGATGCTGGTTCATGTGCTAGACACAACTGCCCAGACTGCGAACAGCAATTAAAACATACTGTATTTCTTTTTTTTTCTTTTTAAACATTTTATTTATTTATTTGAGAGAGAGACAGTGAGAGAAAGCATGAGCGAGGAGAAGGTCAGACGGAGAAGCAGACTCCCCGTGGAGCTGGGAGCCTGATGCGGGACTCGATCCCGGGACTCCAGGATCATGACCTGAGCTGAAGGCAGTCGCTTAATCAACTGAGCCACCCAGGCGCCCAACATACTGTATTTCTTATGAGAAATGGAACTACAAGTTGTACCTAGCATCCACTTTATTCATCTTACTATTCACACGGATCACACACGTAAACCCCTCTTCCAGGCTGTAGATCTGTGTGATAATTAGGAATACAGTCAATTTCATTTAGTTTCTCTTTGGTTTCTGAATTCAAGTTAACTGTGGTTAAACAAGCCAGGTTTGCATCAGTGGGACACATGGGACCTAGTATGATTAGTATTCTAAGCTAACCAGTTATTTTGGTGTCAGTGAAACCCAACTTTGCTGGGCCCTTTTTCTTTTTTCAAAAGATTTTGTTTATTTATTTGAGAGAGAGAGAGAGAGAGCAAGCAAGCACACAGAAGGTGCAGGGGCGGGGCGGGGGAGGGTAAGGCAGAGGGAGAAGCAGATTCCCCTCGAGCAAGGAGCCTGATGTGGGACTCAATTCTGGGACCCTGAGATCATGACCTGAGCTGAAGGCAGATGCTTCCCTGACTGAGCCACCCAGGTGCTCTAAGTGTTTTTTTCTTTTTAAAAATGAAGTCCACCACACCTTAAAAATATAAAAATATGCTATTTGTCCCCCTCCATCAAGGCAGGAGCTTGGGGCTGGGACAAACCGACACGGCCCAGAAGTGCATGGAGTGTTTCCTGCTGAATTTTAGGTCAACCTCATAGGAACCTTCAAGATGGGCAACTGTGTTCTCAGCTTACTGATGGGAACACTGAGGCCGCAGAGATGACAACCTGTCCCAGGCTGCAGAACCACCAGCTGTGAGGCAGGGACTCAAACCCAAGTCTGCCTGCCTTGGGCCCCAGCATGGCTTCAAGGCTGGCCTCATGCCCAGGAAGGGACTTATAGGGTTGGGAGTGGGGGGTGGGGAGGCGTCAGCGCACGAGGCACAGGAGGGCACAGGTGGAGGAACGGTGTGGCTCGCTCCTGGAAGAGCAGAGGGCACTGCGGCTGCCCTGCCCCCTGGGGGGGGGAACGTGTGCCCCATCCACAGAAGCACTTGATGATCAGCTCCCTGGACAGAACTGGTGTGTGCCCGGTTCAGGGACAAACACCAACACCAGAGCCGGTCCCAGGAAGTTTAAGTAAAGATGAGACGCCTTCACCGTCTCCTTCTGTGGCTTTACGGTTGCTCTTATTCCTGGGGAGCAGAGAGATGCTAATGCTGCATTTGCCTTTACGCAGCAGAAGGCCCCGGGCTTCGCGTCACCTAGCCTGAACTCTGAATCCCGCACCTGCCGCTGACGACGACGACGGTCGCCCTTCAGAACTGTGTTAGGGTTTTTAGGGTCTTTCTCACTCAATCCTCCGGTCTCCTCACGAGAATACGAACATGACGTACGAAGACACTAATACTTAGGAGGCGCTAGTCCTTGCCCGGAGCCACGGAGCTGGGAACGGGGATTAGGAATCCGACCCCGAGGCCGTGCCCTTAACCTCTCCGCTACGCCGGCTGCAGGAACAGTTCCCTGCCTCCCCCGTGCTGTCCCGCGCCTGTAATGAAGTGTCCAGGGGAATATGAGAAAACCCCACCTAGAAGCAGCTGCAGAAGAAGTGTGCCAGGACCAATGAGAGTCTGTTTTTTGACTGGTCCGCTCCCCTGACAACGAACGACTACTGTGGGATGTTTCCTGATGAAATACCGCTTAAAGCGACTGTTGATCCACGGGGTCCTGCTTAACTGCTTCTCTCACTTGCAGGGTTCTCTGGTGCGGTGGTGCTCACTGACCAAGTCTCACCCCAATGGCGACGATGGCTAACGTCACCCGGCTGAACAGCCGTCTAGCTGTGCTGCCTCGGTCTCGGGAACGGTAAGGGAAGCATGCTGCCACAGTGGGCCGACCACGTGCTCTGAAGTCAGGCTGCCCCTGCGGACGTCCCCTCACCCCTCGCTCCAGGCCCTGTCCACTCACCTAGGACGTGGGACAAGAGCACCCGCCTGCCGGGGTAGCCGGCAGGAGTTCATGGGACCGAGTGTGTGAAGGGTGCGGCAGGGCCCAGGACACGTGCTTGGACTGTGTCCCTCTGCCTCTACTAGGATACATTTCCTCAGGTTCTCTCTGGAACAAGAGGACTGAAGTCAGGGCCTGTCAAACCGGGTCCCAGCCTCAGGGAGAAGATCGATCCAAATAAAGACATCTCTTGACACACAAAAGAAACTCTTACCCCTCATCTACTTGGCTCTAATTTTCCAGTCTATCCTTAGGCTTAAAAAACAAATGAAAAATATTCAAATAATTAATATTTCACAGACAAAACTGCATCCGGCAACATTAGACACACGTGTCTGTGACGTCCTGGGCATGGGTGGGGTGGGGTGGGGAACAGCAGCCACAGAGAAGCAGCAGGGAAGGATGCCCCGGGTCTCTCCGTGGAACTGCCTGGATAACACAGATTTTTCTCCCTAAATCTCAACGTTACTCCTCTTCGGAGTGTGGCACCCACACTAAAAAATGGATGAGCTAAGTGTGTCTGAAAGGAGACACAGAGAGACCTAGTTCTTCCATGTCGTCTTGGGCTGATGGGTCCCGTCAGTTGTCCTTGCTGATAATCTGGACAGGGACCACCAGGGCCGAGCATGTAACCCTGCCCCAAACTCACTCTAGGCCAGAAGGAGCCCTCCTTTCGGGGAAGCCTGCTGCGGCCCGGCGGACTTCCGGAATGGACGGCAGCCCATTAGCCGGATGAGACCAGCAAACGCATCCGGAGGCAAAGAGAGAGAAAACCACAATCAAGGTCTGGCCTCCCTTAACGTTCATGGTCCCTTCGATGCCTGCTTGACAGAGGAACGAACTACCTCACGCACACAGTCTCCGTCACCCCAAATCAAGAAACGAGTGACGTCTGTTCACAAGTACCGTAAGTACGAAACTCACCTGGCTTCTGCACCGGCCCCGTCTGAAACAGTCACCCCTTGTCAGAACAGACAAAATCTCTTCCATCTTCATCTCGGAAACGCTGTGAAGGGAAGAGCACATCAAGGTAAACTTTCTGTTCTTCCAACATCTGGAATCTTGATGCATAAAAATGGCCTGTTCTCCAGCTAATTGGGTATAAAGCAGAAGCTACACGTTTACAGGAAATAGTTTCCTGAGCCTTCAGAAGGAGTTTGGAATGAAGGGACCTCTGTGACACGTCAGGGACAGATGGGGTCATACTTCCAACACTCTCCATCTTCTCTGCTGACCTGCAAACAGCCTACATCCAGACTCTCCTCTGTAGGGATCACGCCATTATTTTTTTTTTTTAAAGATTTTATTTATTTATTTGACAGAAAAAGATCACAAGTAGGCAGAGAGACGGGCAGAGAGGGAGGGTGAAGCAGGCTCCCTGCGGAGCAGAGAGCCTGATGCGGGGCTCGATCCCAGGACCCTGAGATCATGACCCGAGCCAAAGGCAGAGATTGAAGCCGCTGAGGCCCCAGGCGCCCCGCGTCACTGTTTCTTAATACGTCTCAACACGGAGGCCTGTTTATTTCTAGACTACCTTGACTTGGGGAGAAGAAGAAATTAAAAAAAAAAACATTTCTGATAGTCTCTTTAGTTTTAAACTTTAAAAAAAGCCAGGAGTGAGTCTAGGTGGCCAAAGGTCCTTAACCGTTGGGGTCAGCTCCTCAGGGAAGGCTGAGCAGTGACCCCAGCACCCAGCACCAGAGCTCTCTTCTCCTCCACCCAGAAGGGCGTCTACCTTCTCACCTCTTAATTATTAGGGGTGGGGGACAAATGACCTCTGATAGACCCAGAGCTGTGGACAAACAGCGGAGATCACAGTTTGGGCTTCTGCTGTGAGCAGAAGCCACCCTGAGCCAGGCGAGGAGGCCCACCCTGCCTCGTGGCGGGATGGGGAAGCCTCCGCGTCCTCCACGGCACGGAGGCTCGGGCGGTGCGCGCAGATTCAGGTATTAGGGCCTGAGGAAGAAGCGGGAGCTGCTGAAAACATACTTCTCAGGGAGGGGAAAGAAAAAAAAAAAGGGAAGGAGGAGTTCTGGGGAGAAAAACAGATCATAAAAAGATAAATGATTTCCTTGTATGTTGTTTCTTTTCTTATTTTTTAATGTAACAGCAAATTAATACATGAATGGCAACTTCTCACGTGGGAGAAGACAACCCCCGCCTTTCCCCCAAAGGTTATTCTGACAAAGCTATGAATGAAAATGCCACGTCTCTGACAGCGATTTACCTGAAACGTGTCACGGCTCCCCCGAACACCCCCGGCCCCCGCCCCTCCACATTCTCTCCGCTGCCAGCTCGCAGGCCTACGGATAGTGAAATCTTTTTACAGCAGGAGGAGTCAACCGGAGAAGGCAGAGCAGGCAGGTGAGGGTAGCAGTTTGGGGGAAAGGGCTCATGATTTCATGGAAAATCTGTTTTTCATGTGAGAGAGCAAAGCTGTGGCTGCCGAGCTTGCTTCTTGTTCATGCCTGGAAATCCGAAGGTGAAAACGGCCAGGCCTCTCTTTCTCTTTACCTAGCGGACCTGCCTCTATTCGTCACTTCTTTTCTTGAGGGGAAAAAAAGGAAAAGTAAAAGGAACTAAGGACTTGGGGGTGAGCTCTGGAAGCAGGGAGAAGGAAACAAAGAGTAAGGTCATTCAGAGTCGGGGATACAAAGAACTACACACACCACCGAGGCCGCACGTTCTGAAAGGAGGCGGCGCTGACCCCTGCGGCCAGGGCCCGGCCTTGCTGTGTGTGTCCATGTGACAGCACGGGCGCCCAGGCACCGTGAGTGAGCGGGAGCGGACAACGGACTGGAGTGACTTACAGTTTAAAAGGGCCTCCCTCCTATTCTAAGAAATCGCTGCTTCTGAGGAGCAAAGCCAATCTACTCTGCTTGTTTATGGTTCTATCAACAGATCTGATCTACCCTGCCTTACTACAAAAAGAGACAGAAAAATAAATTCAGGGAACTGTCTCATGCCTGATCTAAGAAATACACGTTTTGATGAAGCATTTACATTTTAATAAACCAATGACGACTTTCATTAGAAACACGTTTAAAGGAGAAGCGGAAAACAGGGAAGAAGTTGGCAAACACCACGAAGTCAGAAGGATGCAGAAACAAAGTCCTGGGCATCTAGACAGAGGTGGCAACGGCCCAGGGCGCCTGTCTCTTGCCCCAGCTGCTAAATTACACTGTCAGGGCGAGTTCCACAGTGCGCGGTGTACGAAGGCAGGCGGCAACTTGCTGTGATGGCCCTTGCTGCCGTGAGCCTCAGCCTGCCTTCCTGAATCTCCACTCTAATTCATCAGCCGTCCCAGCATCCTGCTGCCTGGCTCCCAGGTTCTGAGGCAAAACACACACACACACACACACACACACACACACACACACACACACACACACACACACCCTTTCTTCTCCATTTTTCTTTTCTTTTTTTTCTTTTTACTATTTAGCAGTGTACCTTTTGTATTCCAAAAATGCTCAAGTCGGCTTCCTTCCATGGCACACTTTGTAATCAGGTCTTCTTACGTGTAATTTTTTTGTGTTAAGTAAAGATACCCAACATCCAGCCCTTCCTCAGAAATCAAGAAGCAGGAGCCAAGGCTACAGCGTAACTCTGACTAGTATTTCGGGCGGGCGGGGGTGGTGGTGGTGATTACATCAGGCCCACAGAGCAGTCAGTGGATGAGGGGCACAAAGTTCAGCGGGGGTATTTTCAGGCCAGAAATGAAAGGACTCTTTCCCGCGGGAATGGATGGTCTCTCCACAAGAGACCCGACGCTCTTCCTCTGGGTACTTCTGTCTTGATCTTTCTGAGCTTCCCCTGCAAGCCCAAACACTCAGACCCCCTGGATTGGTGCTTATCCGGAATGGGCACACGGCTGTGCTGGGTCCCCCAGAATACCGCTGGCACAGTTTTTTCCAGAGATGGTCACAGAGAACGAGTGTACTTCTTGTAGCTTTAAAATACACGTGGCTCACTGATATCCAGGCTGGTGCTATTATTTTCCCCTTTCGAATTTAGGTTTACGTTTGAGCCTTTCAGAGCCATCAGCCTGAACATGTTTATTAAAGGCAGCTTGAGAGCAGAGAGGCAGAGGCGCCCAGGCGCGCGCCGTGGGCCTGGGCAATGATCGCCTGACTTCATGACGCGAGCACCCACTTTTCTGAGCTTATCGGGTCCCAGGGAATGAGCCCAGGAGAACACCCAGGAGCTGATGACAGGAAGGAGTGGAGAACACGAACCCGTAGGTCTGGAACAGAAGGTGGGGGAAGACAGCTGAGGGTAAAAGACCGCCGGGGTGTAGTGACGACAAATTCGCCCGCGGATGCTGACACCCGGCTCTGAAAACACTTTCTGGAGGTCGACAAGTTCCCGTGCCCGAGGAAGACAGTCGCAGTGCTGTGACAGGTTCCCAGCCTGTGAGGACGCGGTAAGGGAAAATGGGAGAAGGGGCTACGTCCGTGGGTTTTCATTCCATTCCTCGGTGTTTCCGGGGTCCAGCTGCCCAGTGGAGAGCTGTCCTCGGGCCTGAAAGCACGCACAAAAAGGACGGCCAGCCCCCCGCCCAAAGGCCTGGGAAACCAGCTGGAGAGGAAGCTCTCGGTGAGAGGGGATTGAACTGACGGTCAGCATTCCTCTTACAAGGGAGATAGAATCTGCAGTCTTCCCGAAACCAACAGAAACCACTCTTTCAAAGTGAAATTGTTTTAAGATATTAAAGGACAGGAAAACCCAAGCCGGGATTAGTTGGACCCACTCAAAATCACCACCAGGTTCATCAGAAGTGGGGTCCTGCCTCCCTACCACTGAAGGGTGTGTGCAGGCACATTTTCTGAGGAAGCCCCAGCCCACAGATGTTCCCACGAGCAACCCCGAGACAGCGGAGTGCTGCGGAGTCGGCCCCGGGTGCAAGGAGGGAGGGAGGACGACTTTCTCTGCAGGTGCTGAGAGAGACAGGGAAAGGGACAGCTCTGCAGGTGGGGACTACGGCAGGTTGGTGGGGATGGTCACAGGCAGCTCTCCGTGCGGGTGGCCTGCACTTGGTCCCCAGACCAGGTTCCATGCCACCTGTCTGAAATCTCAGTCCAGATGCAGAATGCCGGGATTCTGCCAGCCCTATACTTGAGAGAGAGAAGACCTCATCGTTTACTCGGTGCTTCTCCTGAAACACCGGGCTGGGCAAGGCGAAGCGCCACCAGGCAAGGTCCTCGGGTGCCAGCGCCATGGCGGTTCCCAGCAGCAGGCGGGCAGGTGTCCGGGCACGGCAGGAATCGTGTCCCACCCTCCTGGGCACACACCCAGGACTCTTCTGTGCCTCCAGAAACACTTTCCACATCACTGTGCTACGTGTGAGCAGAAGAAACGCTTGTAAGTCGACGGCGTGAAAACCGCACGCCTTCAGCAGCCTGTTCTCAGGGCCTGCTACTTCAGCCGCCGGAAGGTGAATAGAAAACACGACGAAACGCTCACTTCTGTGACGCAGGTGACTTACTCGCTCCCGGCCAGGCTGAGACACTCTTCTCCATCTCTGTTTCGCTTGTCCTTCCTGGGCGAGGTCAGGGTCTGCTGGAGGCCCCTACTGCCCTTCCCGCAGTCGCCGAGCTGGCGGGCCAGGGCGGGAGCGGGGCCTCGCTCAGTGTGGCAGCTGCGCACGAGACGGTGGCCGCACAGCCCAGGCTGTGAAGGGGTGCGCACGTCTGGGCTGTCCCGAAAATGTCTCCTCCCTGCGTTTATTTTCCTGGGGGAGGGGGTGCTGTGTGATGAGTCAAAAATACTACTTTTTTCAAAGACAAATCCCCTTTAAACGTACAAAATGTTGAGCGTAAAAATAAAAACTGTGAATAAGGAAGGTCTTCAAGAGACTGGCTGTGAGGGCCGTGCACACGTTCCTGACAGAAAGGGGAATGAAACACAGACCTCTCTCTCACAGAAAAGCCAAGCGCAACAGATCGCTCCGTGACGTAGTCTGGCAACACAATGGAAATTGTCATGTGCTGACGGGATGAAGGGTTTTGGTTTTGCCACTGGCTATTCTGGGACTCATTTAGGGATCACAAGGGTTAATGGCTCTCCGTCAGCTTACAAGCCCCATCCACTGTAAAGGCGACAGAAAGTTAATTAGGTGAGATCAGCCGAAACCCCGTTCAGGTTTCTGACTCACTTGATTTTGTGAGAAGCCAACGAGTTGACATATTCTGCCTCCGAAGGAGCCAAAATGAGCAGGCTGCTCCCACGGCAGCCAATCCGGGCGGTTCTCCCGATCCGGTGGATGTATTCAGCAGGTGACGACGGCGCGCTGTACTAAAAAGGGTAACAAAAACGAAGCATTCACAGATCAAGGGATTGCCATTGACTGGAAGTGCAATACCCCTCACCTGTCTGCAGGTATCCCAAGAATTAAACCCCGGTGCTATGGTTACCCTCACGCAATCCCAAGGAGAAGTCACTCAACCCTGAAACCCCCGACTTCACTGGAAATAACGAGGCTCTGACGCGCAAACGTTAACAGCGGCCAAGTTTCCGACGAGCGAGCCGCCTTCCTGTCCCAGTATCTCCTTTGTAATTTTACTTCTCCACAGGTCTCTTCACTTTCCTATCTGCATCTTTTCACTGCGGTGACCGTGCAAGGTGAAGTCCGAGGCAGGCGGGGCACCCTTCTGCAGGACAGCCGCGTGACCTTGGCCTGCTTCCGTGGCAGACACAGCAGTGGGCAGAGGCCACAGAGGACTGGACGGGGTCAGGCGGAAGGGGCCGGCTGCTCGGATCAGAGTTCACCCCGTGGCCGGGCCGCCGGGAGCTGGTCCGTGCCACCTCACTGCACTTCCACCCAACCCCAAAGGCACGGAGCTGTGGGGCAGCTGAGAGGCCGGTTCCCTTCCCACAGGGACTTGCTCCCGCTCCTAAGGACGGCATTCCTGACTTGAGGGACAAGGCAGACTCCAACTGGGCAGAACACTTTATTTCCGATTCTCTAGGGCGTTAACTTCGTCACCATGAAAAGCAATTGACCATCGAACCGCCCTTCCTTTTTGTTCTGCTGCTACACGACTCAAAGACCGAGGCCCGAAAGGACTACACTGTATGGGGGAGGGGTGGGCGCCTGGATCTAATCAATCTCACGATACAGAAAAGCTCTGAATGAGCAATTTCCTGTCCGCCTCCTGCCCCCCGTATTGAAATTATCCTGCCTTTTAATCTTTACTTCGCTCTGCGGCCATCAGGAAAGCAGACACAACGCCTCCAAGCGGAAAGACGGCCGGAGGCGGCAACCAGATCAGACTTCCCAGCCGGTGACAGGCGTGCGATTCCACTAAAACGTGAACTGCCCATGACTCACGTAAATGGGGCACGTGTCCTCCGGCCCCCACAGAAGGGCATAAAAATACCATTCTGCAGACTAACGAAAAGAAAAAACAGGACTGAAACCACTAGACTCTAGTGTAACACCTGTACCCTCTGGCAAAGCGTCTAAGGCTAGAGGTACGTGTAAGACGCTGTCAGGGACTTAATTGCCCCCTGCAGGTCAATGTACATGGACACGGCTCTCAGGACAGCTGAGCCATCTCCTTCTGGACACAATGAGACGTCCCAAGGGCCCTGGTAATTCCTGTTATTCTCACATTGCTGGAACTTTGTGTGTGACACGCATTAGTCTGGGAGCAGGCAGCCCGCCCCCCCCCCCCCCCCACCACGACTGCTCAGTCCGGCTGGCTCCCTGCAGCGGTGGGGTGGGCTGGCTGGGCTCGGGAAAGCTCCCAGGAGCAATGAGCAGAGAAGGCTGGTTGCTGCCTGGTTACCAGGGCAACACCCAAGAGGCTAATAATAATTATTCCACTTAAAGCCAACGCATCTATTCGCAATCATGTATTCCCGCCTTGAGCTCACACCTTAACAACTAAAAAATTACCTGAACAATCCACGTGACTTGAGGGAGATCTAAGCCCCGAGCTGCAACATCCTGCAAAACAGAAAAGAATATGACTCAGGACTGCGGTTCTGAACCGTTTTTGGGCCACGGATCCCTCTGATAATCTAATGCAAACGATGAGGGCTTACCACCCCCCAGGGTGCACAGGCGGGTGTACGTACACACGCGCGCACACACGCATACACACACACACACAAAGTGGCATACAACTTCAGAGACCCACTGAAGTCCATCTGTGCTCGAAATTCGAACTCGGGGGTAAGTTCTCCAGAACCTGTTGGTTAGGCGTCACCACTCACTCTGTTAGAACATAAATTATTAGTCCAAGAACTGGAGTCACGGTCAGTTGTGTCACGTAAGAACTCTGGAAACTTCTAGCATGTATTATTACTTTCACATTTGCTCTGAAGAACCACTCTACAATCAATGCGTTCGTGGGTTCCCCCCGCCCCTTAACAACCGGCAACGCCTGACAGAGACATGGCTTTGAAACGGGTGGAAGGTCACCCCGAAGTATTCCCTTGTGGAGGGGAGTTGCAAAGTCTTACTGAGGACTTCTCAGCCTCGGAGAGCAGCAGAGACCAAGTAACATCCCACCTCTTCTGCCAGTTACGTCACAACACCAGCCAAAGACTTACTTAACCAGACACGAACATTGTAAATGCAAAGGAGGTGTATTTTTTCTCTCAGCTCGCTGCCACCCGAGGAGCACAGGCTCTCTGCTCTTGAGCGTCTGCCTGGCCTTTCTGGCCGGGACTGGAGAACGGGTATCTTCCGGTGGTTAGGGACAAGCTGATGCGGGGCATTCGTGTCCAAGCACGACAGTCCCAACACGGTTACCCGCAGTCGGCGCGTCCCGAGTGCTGACTCCGCACCGGCAGCGCGAGTGCTTCACTGTACTACCACGAGGTTCTTCCCAGTGACTCTACAGCAAGACGACCCCTCCCACCTGACGGACGGGAAACCAAGGTTCGGACAGATGCAGTAATCTGTCCAGAGACACACAACTAAGAAGCAGAGGCAGCCCTCAAATCCAGGTCCACTTTACTTTTCCAAGGCCGTATTGTGCTATTCCTTCATCGAAAAAGATGCTGCATCCCTCATTAGCTCTCGGTGGGAACGCAAAATCGTCTAAAACCCTCCCGTGGGGGACACCTGGGTGGCTCAGTTGGTTAAGCGGCTGCCTTCGGCTCAGGTCATGATCCCAGCGTCCTGGGATCGAGTCCCGCATCGGGCTCCTTGCTCAGCAGGGAGCCTGCTTCTCCCTCTGCCTCTGCCTGCCTCTCTGTCTGCCTGTGCTCGTTCACTCTCTCTCCCTCTGTCTCTGACAAATAAATAAATAAAATCTTTAAAAAAATAAATAAATAAAATAAAACCCTCCCGTGGGAAGTCCGGCAGGACCCAGTGAAACTACATTTGCACTTGCCCCCTGACCCAGGTGCGATCTCACTTCTAGGACTCCATCCCAAACACACTTCAAAAATACAGCACACTGCATGCACGAAGCTACTCATTTTGGCAAAATCTGTAATTGCAGGTGTGGAAAAGCCCCAGCGTCTGGCCGGAGACGGGCGGACTGAAAGACCGTCCCACTGACCCCTTGCAGCAGCGTGTCCCACAGCTGAGACAGGAGCGAGGCACCAGTGTACGGAAACGGAGAATCGCTACCATCTACTCTGGTGTGCAGAGTAGGCCTTTGTGTGAGAAATGAGGGAAATACAAATGTATCTGCTCACATTTTGAAAAGAAATAATGGAGGAGAAAAGCCAAAAGCTCACAGAACGTTACCTGTCGGGGACGGGACTGGGGGCGGCAGACAAGGGTGGAAGCTGGACTTCCTTGAAGGGACTTTAGTAATTTTGACGGTGAAACGACGTAAACGATTTGACATCACTGGAGAGGCAACAAGCTGTCGTGCCACAGGAAGGACGCGGTGCTGCCTATGGGGTATTCTTGCCAAAAACCAGAGCAAATCTAACCAGGTACGGAGCCCCAACTCCTAGTCCACAGGAAGGGTGGGGGAGGGAGGAGGACGTTGGCCCAACAAGAAGTCAAATCTGGAATGTGGAGTATTTTAAAGCATGGACAGCCTTGTTTCTTCCAGAAAAAAATCCAAAGAAAAAAAAGAGGAGGGTACCAGAAAACAAGACATTAGATGCGTAGATGGATAAATGGAGAGAGGAATGGAGAGATGGCCGGGGGGCCCATGGCCGGAAGGAGTCTCGCCGGAACTATCCCCTGCGGCTGTCTCTGGGTAGAAGGACTGCGGTGGTTTTCATGGTTCTCTTTGTGTTTTCCTGTATTATTTGCCCATTATTTCCTCCCAAGTTTTTATCTAGAAAAATTTAAACCCCGAAGTTGGAAGAATAGTACAATGAGCTCCCATGAATCCTTCATCCACATCCAGCAACCCCTAGTCTGTGCACATCCACTTTCTTTTTCTCTACGCACATATTCTTCTGAGCCATTTGAAAGAAAGTTGCAAGTACCACTGATGTTCTATCCCTAACTACTGTAGCATGTTACCTCCTAAGTGAAAGGACCTTCTTCCTCACAGGCACAGTACCGGCATCATACCTAAGAAATTAAATATTAAACTTTTTTTTTTTAAAAAGATCTTATTTATTTGACAGAGAGAGCGATCGAGAGCACATGAACACAAGCAGGGGGAGAGGCAGGCAGAGGGAGAGGGAGAAGCAGGCTCCCCGCTGAGCAGGGAGCCTGACGTGGGGCTCGATTCCAGGACCCTGGGATCATGACCTGAGCCGAAGGCAGACGCTTAACCCACTGAGCCACCCAGGTGCCCCAAATAACATTATTTCCTAATGATCACCTCATATTCAAATTTCTCCAAAGGCACCTAAGATTGATTTTTATAGTTGTTTTTCTTGCCCAACTCAGGAACTGACTCATCGATCATGCATTCTGCTTTTATTACTGCCCCCTCTCACCTCTAGACTTCCATAATCTAGAATGATTTCCCTGCCCTTAATATTTAGTTATTTGGTTTTTTGACAACTCAGTTTTGAAGGAGTCCAGGTGTCTTGAAGGACGTCCTAGAATCCATGTCTAACTGTGTCCTCGTGGTAAGATCCTGGTGAAGCTTTCCTGTGGGTGTGCTTCCCAGGACTGGATGCCAGGAGAGACCGAGGGCAGCCTGTCCAGCACTGGGGGGAGTTGTGCATGACCCCCCAAGGATGTGGCATTTCTGTGAAGGGACCTCTCTCCTTTGCAATAACCAGTAAGCTAGGGAGTAAAACTTTGAGACTGTTTCCCAAAACCATTCACCCAGGGGCTTCGGTGTCTACTGCCGCTGCCTGTCCGCATCTACGGCTGCCCCAGTGGCAACAAACGGATGGCTTCCGAAGTCTGCCATTCCCTTCTTCCACTTATTTGTTTATCTATCTATCTATTTATTTTTAAAGATTTTGTTTATTTGAGAGAGAGAGAATGAGAGCGAGCGAGCATGGGAGGTGGGGTGTTAGAGGGAGAAGCAGATTTCCCGCTGAGCAGGGAGCCGGATGCGGGGCTCCATCCTGGGACTCCGGGATCATGACCTAAGCCGAAGGCAGTCGCCCAACCCACTGAGCCACCCAGGTGCCCCTCCTTCTTTCATTTACTAGCTGGCACTTTTTGGTAAAACATAGCTTGCCTTCCTCCCCCCTTTGCATGCAAAGAACTTTCCCAGAGAACAATAACCCGGAGAAAGTCCCCACGGGAGCTCACTGAGACAGCCTTGTGCTGTGCTGCCCGGTGCTGGGGGCAGAAGCCGAGGAGGACACTGGCCACCGTCATCTAAGCCACCGGTGTGGGAGGACCACGCAGGGCAGGTCGGGATTGGACTGCCTTTGCTCCAACTACGCCCGAGCCGGCGGGGTTCCTCTGAACGGTGGCTAGGCTGCATTTATTCAGTATTAACTGGGAGTTTAAGGTACTACGTGCATCAACCAGCCACGAAGTGTTTTCAGGCAGCTCCCACTGCCCTGAGAGCGGAGGGCTGATGTTCCAGAGCTGGAGTCTTTGAGAACACAATTTAGAGAGTTCTCTGTCTTAAAGGGGAGCAGGCACTACTTTCTACACTAACCACAGTTGATGTCTTTAGAAAACCTGACGGGTTCTTAAATCTGGTAAGCTCTTGTTAAGAAGTGATTTATTTTATTTAAGTGTTCCGCAGTGGGAGATGCATGTAGACAATGGGCTGTCTAAGCTTTACAGACAGGCTTTGTGAAAAATTTAATGCTCATCGGTTTCGTAAATTCAACCAAGAAACACCGATGAAACTCTAAACTAGCATATGACGTTCGTGGGGCTCACTGAGCACAAACACGCTGAAGCAGTGGGGAAGGATGCCGGCAGCCTTCTCGGGACCGTTCGCAGCTCCATTTCCCGCTTGGCTGATCCAGCTCGGGGCGGTGGTGGGGGGTGCTGGCCGAGACACCATCTTCCCATCTCCCACCACTTCTTGTCTCAGGGTGGGGACCCTCACTGACAGCCACCCTAGCTCAGCTATCACCTGGACACTTCTGAAAGTCCTCCTTCCTATTCTCAGCCCAGGGTGCCACAGAGAATGGGACAAAGGGATAACCTCCATGGTCCAGGAACACAGAGAATGGGACTCTACCATCCCGGTACAGCCATACCACCCGGGAAAGTCAACGCAGCTCCCTGACCATCAGTTTACCCGCCTATACGACGGCTGTAAGATTCCCCCTGTTAATCTCATGTCATGAGGTTGCTGCGAAGACCGAATGGGCCTGCTCGTGTGAAGGGCACGGAGAATTCCAAATCCAAGGATCTCCTCCCACGACGAGGCAGGAATCGGCACAGTGGCAAACGGGCGGTGGTGGGATTCTCCTTGCACCTACCACGCGACCTGGGCAGAGGACAGCAAGCAAGCCAGGGTCTGGACGGCCACCAGCCAGTGGCACTGGATCGACAGGAAACTGACCTGCCTGAGACTCAGCAAAGGCTTCGGTGTTCTGCCTTCTTAGAACCTCAGACCCAGCCCAACTGTATTCCTTTGAGCTAATTAGGGCAAAAGAATTGCTAAAGTCAGTTCTGAAAGACACTCAACAGTGAGGCCTTGAAGGCCCAGGGCTTGACAATTGGCTGCCTCCACGAGACCAAGGAGTACAGATGGAAGGCAGCTTGCTCAGGTGCCAGCCTGTCAGTTGGATTAAAATGACTCATTTATTTACCCAAGAACCTCACAAAGTGCTTTTACTAACAGGGAGAGGGGGCCTGCCGGCTCTCTGAGCAAGGGACGCAGCAAATTCGCCTCTGCCGCCTTCCCGGCCTGCCAAAAGTCATTATTGCCGTGTGTGGAAAGCCATCAGCGGGGTACAGGCCCCCGTTGTCCGGGTGACAGATTGGGCTGCGTAATCAGAGGAGGAAGGAGAGAGTGCAGAAGCTGTCAGAGGCGAGAGATCTTGGCTGGAGCCGCCAAAAAACTGGCAACATGAGTTAGCGTAACTGAGTAAACAGCCAACCATCTCCAAATGATCTTGCCATTAACACAAATGAAATAAAGTGGAAAAGATCAACTTTACCTCAAAAGCACGCCCCAGAGAAAACCAAGAAAGTCTACATTTATTGTTGGTGGTGAAGTGACATTCCCGTGACTCTCATGGCCTCACCTCCCAGCCTCCTTTGTCTCCCAGCCTCCTGGCACAGTGGAAATTCCCCAGGAGGAAGGGAGATTAAGAACCACACAGACAGAACAGTGTGCTTCAAGACAAAAAAAATGGAGAAGGTGGAGGAAAGCAGCACAGGTGGCTCAGGTGTCTTCCGAAAGAAAGCACGTGCTGATGGACAGCCGAGATGGAGGCCCACGGAGAACCAGCCCGCAGAGCGAGGGGAGCTGGGAGTGCCCCTCCGGGCCGGGAGAAAGGTGACTGCGCTCCTTTCTTCCACAGACGACCAGGGAGCACACTGTGTACGACAGAAAGCCCAGGGCTGGACTGCCAGCCGGATGCGGCGCAGGAATATCATTTTCCAGTCACTCCGCGCTACTTCCCTTTATTGACTCATCCATACGACAATGGGGATGAAACCCACTGTCCCCTCCTTTGGCTCAGGGTGAGCTCTTCACCAGAAGCAGGAGGAAATATTCTGTAGGTAACCCAGTATCTCCCATCAGATTCCTTTGATTTCTTAATTCCATTTAGGAAAGTGGGCTCGGAACATTCAAACAGCTCCTTCCTGCTAATCCCTACTCCCTTCTCAACACGGCTTCTTAGATCTACTTCTCCGGAGAACGCAAGCTGACACTGGGAACACGTCAGGAGCGCCCTTTCACAGACTGGTCTGTCCTGCCCCCACTGCCCTCTCACTTCTGCCTACGCTTCACATCTGCAAGGCCTCACACAGTCACCAAGAACCCACAGGACACAAAGCCACGAACCGGGTCCTGAAAGGCCACATAAAATGAGAAAGATCCTTGCTTTAAGATTGTTCGTAATTAAGATGAAAGAAAACACGCACACACACACGTCCTTAACTGTTCCTAGTAACAGAAAAGTCGGCAGGGAGGAAAATGGATCGGGGGAGGGATTTTCAAGTCGAAACGAGCAACACTGGGAGTTTTTGAGCGGCTCCAGCACAGTTCCCAACTTCTCATACACAGAGAGCCAGTCTTCTGAGCTCGTTAAAACATCTTGGGATGAGGGGCGCCTGGTGGCGCAGTCATTAAGTGTCTGCCTTCGGCTCGGGTCATGATCCCAGGATGCTAGGACAGAAGCCCCCCATTTGGCTCCCTGCTCAGCGGGAAGCCTGCTTCTCCCTCTCCCACTCTCCCTGCTTGTGTTCCCTCTCTCGCTATGTCTAAGTCAAATAAATTAAAAAAAAAGAAAAAAAAATATATATAAAGATCTTGGGATGATAAATCAAAATGGAAGAAGGTACGGTATAAGGAGGAGGGAAAACGCCCCTGCCACAACAGACAGCATGAGTCCGCTCTACCCAAAGAAGCCCGTTCTCCATCTGCCCCGTCCTGCCGTGGCCCCCGCTCCTCATTAACACTACGGAGGCTCCTGGAGAGCATGCAGAGGGCCTGGCAAGCAACAGGCTGCTTAAAAGGACACAGAGTGACAGCATCTCCGCATCCTCGCCACGATCTACTGGAGTGGGTCTCCTGTGCCTAAAGCTCTCGGGCACCAGAAGCTTCAGGCTGAAGCAAATGAACATGGCAGAACCAGCAGGAATTCGGAGAGGGTGAAGGAAGAGCTCCTCTCACCAGAGACCACATGCTCGGATCTGGGCTTAGAGATGACCGGAAATGAGCCCTCCCACCCCTGGGTGTTCTCTGGTGATCTTCACTGCACAAGGAAGACGACGTGAAGCTGGCGGAAGGTCAGCACACTGGAAGGTTCCTCGGCAAGCGAGCGAGCACACACCAAGAACCTTTAGTGACATCAGATTGCGGACAAGTGAGAGTCGGCTTTCTGTGCAGCACCCGGGACTGGCGGGGGGCAGAGGGGTGGGGGTGCTGTGCTCTGCTAAGTCAGGGGTGCTCCCTGGCTGGCTGACCTCTTTTTGCCTGCAGGTGTCAACCACCCGAATCAAGGGAAGTCATCACAGGCTTCCGACCCCACTGAGAATTACCTTTAAAAAAGAATGACCTTCACTTCCACGTAAACCTACTAAAAAGACCAAAATCAAAACCAACCAAAACACTGAACTTCATATCCCTAGAGCCCACTTTGAGACCCAGAGCTGACCCATGTCTGTAAGAAACACCAGGAGATTTGAAAATTTTCCACCAGGGACAAACCCAACATCTTAAAGGTCAAAGATAAAACATTCTGTTCCTGTCTTAAACTCCCCCACAAAAGCTCCTGCTGTTCCTGTTTCAATATGGACAACCTGTAACATTCAGCCCTCAGGTCCACCACGCGTATGAAAAAGGGGACTTACTCCCACGAGCAAGCATAACGGCGCCACTCTCAGTCTTCAGAAGAAGGCAGGCAAACACTGGTGGTTTTCAACACTGTGTTTCTCAGGCCCCAATACTGACGCATCCGGCTCACAAACACCGAGTATATGCGCACACCTGCTCAGGACCAGACACTGACATGGGACCGCAGACAAGACACAGTCCGTCCCTAGGGGCTCACGATCATGGGGAGAGGACACTTAGACCAGGCGTGATGAGTACCGTAAGTGCGGACGCAGTGGGAATGCCGGACGGGGGAAAACACGGGCTCCCGGAGCTCACGTTCTTCAAAAACTGAAATTGAAGTGGGGGTCTTGGGAGGGACTCGTCCAAGACAGGGCGGGCTTCCCAGGCAGAGGGAATGCACGTGCGCAGGCCCCAAGGCCAGGAAGAGGACGGATGCTGCATTCAGGGGGTGGGAAGAGGAGCCTGCCTGGCCGAGGGCAGGGAGCAAGGGAGGAAGTGGAGACCAAAGGAACAGGAAGGGGTCAGGACCCAGGAAGTCTGACTGGACACCGTAAGGACCGCTGGCGAATCTGTCAGGTAGATCCCGTGGACTCATCTTCGCGTCAGACTCGTCCTTTGGGGGGGCGGGGGGGGCTCACACTGCATCTGATTTGCGGATGGGCTTTGCAAAGGGGGGGCACTGGTCGGACTCGGCCTTCCTCAGGAGGCAGGCGTGCCAATAGTGACCATTCCCAGATCGGGACGACCGAGTCACAGAGCCACCGCTTGCCACACTCGTGTGAGAACTGGCACCCTGTGATAAAACGGGTGACTGGGTGGCCCCCTCCTACAGGAGAAGCAAAGCTGCACTCACTCGGAAACCCTGCCTTCAGGAAGGGAACAATGCCCGCTGCCTTGAAAACTGAAGGCAGAGCAGAGGCTCCTTCAAATGTAACTGCACGGGCGCCTGGGTGGCTCAGCGGGTTAAGCATCAGCCTTCGGGTCCTGGGATTGAGTCCCACGTCAGACTCCCTGCTCAGCGGGGAGCCTGCTTCTCCCTCTCCCTCTGCCTGCCACCCCCCCCCCTCCGCGTGTGCACGTTCTCTCTCTGTCAAATAAATAAATAAACCGCCCAGCACTCGCCCCCGGGACAAGCCGGTTTCAGGGCAACCTTGGGACCGCACAGACAGGGACGTCTCAGACACCCAGCTGGGGGTTAAGTTGCATCATCTGAGATGGCACAAGGAGGGAAGATACTTTAATCTCAGGAGCTGGCGACAACCATGGTGAAGTGAGTCCCCAGAGGCGGGGACACTGAAGGTGTGAGTTTTCAGCCTCAAAAGAGCAAGTTAGAGGTGCATCCAAGAGGCCAGCTCTGTGCCGGAGGCAGCGGCCATGCAAGCCCGCCATGACCGAGGCCGGATGACCTGGTCCTGAGAACCGCAGGGCAAACGACAGTGTGAGGCAGCAGCAGAGAGGGTCTGTGCAAGCACATCTATTTTCCTTCTCAAAAAGGCGAGCAGAGGCAGGAGAGGGGTTCTCTTGCGAAGAGACTTTCTCAGCTCTAATTACTCCCGAAAGCTGTAATTTACACGTTTTTGGTGGATAGAAATCACCAAGATTCACACATTTTCAGACCAACAGCTGCCACTATTAGTGAGCAAATCGGCAAGACTTGTGCGCGGCGGCACAGTCAGGTGACATGCCAGAAGTGCAAGGCGACCGGCCACACCTTGAGGGGCTGGCTGCGGGGCGACCTGGCGAGAGGAACGGCAGGGGGGCCCAGCCTCCCGGTCGAGTACAGAGGGGTACATACCGTACAAAGAAGGACGCCTGTCTTGGAATGCGAGAATTCTTGAAACACTGCTGTCCTTTCCTATAAAAACAAGGAAAAACACAGTCTTACAACTCTGAGGTCAGACCCAGCACAGTATGCTTAGACCCCATAACTCCCCCACTTCCTCCTGCTCGATCTGTTTTTAGGCCCTGAGAGGCTTTGCTGAGAAAGAGGAAGAAGTAGGCCGTTCCCATCCTCTCATCAGACCCTGTCCTTCCAGGACCGGACTTGTTGGACTCTGACAAGGTAGTGGAGCTTTGGGGGCGGCGCATCTCAGTAACACAGGGCCAGGGCTGGCACAGCCTTCAGGAACGGCCAATCCTGGGAGCAGGCAAGGCCCAAGGCCACAAGTGACTGTACTCCCGGTTCCCAACTGAGAATCTGTTCTAAACACGTTTTTCTACAGGTGGTCCATAGGCGTCAAGAACCTTTCCTTTCCTACAGGGCAATGTTTAAAAAACTGAACTTTAAAGAAAATTGAAAAATTATAAAAACCATATATTCTAACTGTAGAAAATTATATATTTCAAGTCAGAGGAAGAAAACCAAATCGTTCCCCCACTCAAAGCAAACAAACAACCACTGTCAGCAATCCCTTCTGGGCATGGGACCCAAGATGTGGCTTCTTCAAGAATGGCAGTGTGCTACCTCTCCTACTAACGTGCTCTCATGCCAAGAGAACACGAATGCCCTGTCGTGCCACTACGTCTGCATTCAGCTCAGTCAGTGCTCCATGACTGGACCTGGGCTGTCTCCCACTGGTTGCTGGTACGCCCAGGGCTGGGATCAACACCTTCATAGATAATTTGTTGTACAGGTGTTTCATCAATCCGGGGGGTGGAACTCTAAAGGCGGTCTTGCTGCACCACAGGGCATGTCCACTCGAGAGGCCTGCCAGGGGCACGCCCCATGTGGCCCAAGCCACAGCACGGCGAACAGCTCAGACCTGGCCATGTCCGTCTATCAGCAACGGAAAAGGAATACAACCAAAGCACTAAACGTGGATGGCTCGGGAGCAGGAATGGGGACTCCCTCACACCAGTCCTTAGCATGCATCTCCTGTGTCATCTGACTGGAGGCCCTGGGCACAGCGGGTAACGACATCAGCATGCACAGAGCACGAGCACGTCCTACACGGCGGCCTACGCTCCACAGGCCTGAACGTCGCCTGATCCGCACAAAACCCCATGAGCGGAACTATCACCTCCCCCATTTCCAGATGAAGGCATCGAGGCACAGAAAGATGAAGTCACTTCTTGTCCAAGGGACACGTACACCGCAGAGGTTCAGACTGGCACATGGACCCAGGGGGCTGTTCTCCCGAATGGCACCCAGGCCTCGGGGAAGACAGCTGCGTTTGCCCAGAGTGCTGTAGTTTTTAGAAGGATCATGTTTAATGGACCCATTGTAGAGTGAAAATTAGAAAAAAATCAGGAAAGCTCATAAAAGCCTGTGAGATGCCCTATGGACTAGACGTAATGTGTTCAGATTTGGGATAAGGAAAAAACTGCCAAACCCGGAGCGTTCCTCATGCGATCAGGCAACAACTTCTTCCAATGGCAACTCCTCTCTAACACTTACAAATGCGGTCAGGACCACATCGACCCCAGCGGGAACACACTAAGGTCATGCGGAACAGCGGCCAGGCAGATGGGACTGGGACTGTGGGACGAGAATGCCAGTAAAACGGTATCTAGAGGTCCTGCCTCCCATCTTCTACCCACCTAATGAGAAGGCCCTGGAGGCTAGACACTTAATAAACAGAACAACAATAAGGGGCAGGCTGACCATTTGGGAAAGAGTGAGAACAGTAGTAAGGGCACCTACACCCCCAGAGCACGCACGAACCAGGTCCTACACCATGCACGTGCTCTGCATTCACTCGGTGCGTCACCGCACTGACCCCATGAAGTAAGTACCAGTGTCACCTCCCTTTGAGAGACAGGCTAACTGGGGCACAGGGAGGTGGCACGCTCTCTTGAGGCTGCACAGCCAGTAAAGGCAGAGGCAGGACCAGAGCATGCAGCCGTGAGCGCCCTGCCGGACCACTGCCCTTTGAGTGTGAGGCAAACGGTCTGAGATAATTTCACGCAGAGCTTCCGCAAGGCCTCTGCAAATTCCTAGATCCTCCCGGGCCCAGCGCTGGTTCCCTTGTCATCCTTACGCCCACCCCGCAGAGGGTCTCAGAGGAATTCAAGACAGAGAGGACGAAGAACAAACACTGTAAATGGCATGAAATTAGGAAATCAACAAATCCAACTGGATTGGGGGCCTTGAAACTGAAAACCAAGAGTGTATAAAATGCACAAAAGCTGGACTGTTCGGGAAACTCTACCCAATCTTGCGGTAAATAAGAAGCTGTGTCCTTGAGTGACCTTGAGCAAGCTCCCCTCTGAGGCTCCATATCCTTAATTATTAACACAACAAAAGCGAGCACAAGAAGGGGCCTGGACTCGACTTTAACGTCTCCTTCGGTTCTAAAGATGCTGTGTGTTTTCGGGCTGGTTCCAGTCAAGTCTCGCTCTGACTCCTGGTCGGCTCTCCCTGTCTGAGCGCTTGGTCACCTCCTTCTAGGACAAGGAGCTTGTCCCCCTTCCACGCCAGCGTGCCCCCCTCAGTCTGCTCTCTGCCGACCACCTCAACGGAACGAGGGCCTCGCGGCCCAGAACCCACAATCAGGGAGCCGCTCTCCTCTTCTTCCTGAGCGACATATCACTCCGAGCAGAGACAGAACGGAGACCCTGAAGCCCCTCTCCCGACCAAGGTGTTAAGAGTGAGAGCGCCGTATCTTGTTGACGGTGACAGCAGTCGCGCTCAGCAGTACCATATGGGAGCCACAATTTAGCTCCATTAATGCTCTTAATTTGAAGACATCAAGCCCTAATTACACACTGGGTACTAAAAAGGCAAAACCCTTGCCCAGTGCCAGCTACTTAGTGGTACTCTGTTGCCTTAACAGCTGGTTGAGGCAGACTCGGGCCAAGACAGGCCTGCGAGCTCTCTCAGGTGGAAGAGGGCAGCTCCCGGAGCATGAGCACCGGGAACAATGGACGCCCTTGCCTGGGCCCGCATAGCCGTGGGGTCTGCTTCCAGGGCCGGCGACTCGCCCACCTGAGGCGCGTCCCCGCCCGGCCCGGTGGGGTCCAAGAGGGAGGGCGGCCCCGATCCCCGAGGACACGCTCCCGCTCCTGGGCCTCAGGTCGGCTCCCGCCTCCACTCCCGGGCCCCGCGCGGTGCTCACCTCCTGCTCCATGTTGCCATGCAGCCGCAGGAATTTTAATCGCGTGGACGCAGATGGCGGCTGCCTGGACACTGGGGCCCCGAAGCGGCTCGGCAGGGTCTGCAGGAAGAGGTGGTAGTGGAACTCCACCAGCTCACAACTCGAGAAAAACACGATCATCTTCTGGTCTTTTTCAAACTACATCAGTACAGAGGGGGAAAGAACCACCACATGTTTTTAAGATCAGGTGACACTAAAATGAGTATTTCTCTAAAATACACAGTCCTGCCGGCCCCGATTTGGAAACGCGGTGACGGACAGCTTTGAATTATTTCACAAAAATAACCCCGATACAACATGCTATGGAGCGGAGATGAGAGGAAGACAGCAGAGCTGTAACTTCGACCGGCTTTCCCGAATCTGAGACAGACACGCTGGAGGCTCCCTGCACCCACCCAGGGATCGCCGCGCGGGCAGCAGTCACGAGGCCTCGCCCTCCAGCCCCTGCACCCGCTACTCTGCCACGACCAGGCAAAGGTGGCACAAGATCTCATAAACACAGAAATACTGGCACTCTTCCAAAACCTCGAGCACAAGACTCTGTCTGCCCACATTCAGCATGTTTCTGCCGCCTGTGATGCTCCTGTTCTCGGGCCCGGAAGAGGATTCGGGCAGATTTTGTGTCGAGCGTGGCAGCTGGCTCTGACCTCTGGTTCTTTGCCACAACCCTGGAACCGCTGACTGGTGAGGTCTGCATCAGCGAACACGGGTGAGCTGGAAGACTCTTGTGAGTGTGTGTATGTGAGGGCCCCTCTGTTTGCTACCATCAACACCTGACACGGGAAGACGCGACCTTCTTCCCTCGACTGAGCCAGGCCTCCTGTGCGGGCCTCGGGTGCGGGCCCACCTTGCACTTCTGCAGGATGAAGGCCGCCAGGGAGACGAGCCTCAGTTTGCTGGGAACCAATGCCACGTGCTGATGGAGACTTTTCGGAATCGCAAAGCTGTCCGGCTCACTGCCAGCTGGGAGAGGGGAGGCCTCCGGAACTGCTCCGCCCTGTGGCTCAGACTGGGCACAGTGTTCATCCAGGACAGAAATCCTGACCGGATTGAGCAAGCTGATATCAGCTAGCCGGGTCACACCTTAGAGCAAAAGTGAGAGGCAAAACCGGTGATGGGAACACACTGTGAGACTAATCTTGTATATACAACCCCCCACACCACACGTCCAGGCTGATGAAGAGGCTCCCTATGGGAACACCAGGGCCGCAGAGGCCTGCCCTGTGCTCGAGCTGGTGGGGGAGGCCCAATGACTCCACACCAGCATTTCTCAGCTCAGACCTGGGCAAGACCACTGAAAGCGTCACTAATGAAGGTCTCTCCCTGCCCCCCACCCTCCTCAAAGGGTTCTATGGTTCTATCTACTGATAAAAGGGTGTCACAGGATTCTGTCATGGGTTTTATAGGTTTACAGGCCTTCTCAGAAACTTTATTGTATTGACACACACCAGGGAATTTCCTTTCCTTTCTTTTTTTTTTTTTTTTTTAAAGATTTTATTTATTTGATAGAGAGAGAGACAGAAAGAGAAGGAACACAAGCAGGGGGAGTGGGAGAGAGAGAAGCAGGCCTCCTGCCGAACAGGGAGCCCGATGAGGGGCTCGGTCCCAGAACCCTGGGATCATGACCCAAGCCGAAGGCAGAGGCCTAACGACTGAGCCACCCAGGTGCCCCCACACGAGGAATATCTAAGAGCACGAGGAAACGCGTGGCATTCCCCAAACTTCTGAGCACAGAATCATGGATTATCTCTCAAAATTAACATGACTTAGGATACATTTTGAGAACTGGTATGTGCACACTGTCATAGGGCCAGTAAAACGAGTGAACCAGCCCTGAGAGCACACGAGCTGGGTTGTTTTGAGAGGGTAACTCTGCCAAGCCCCAGTGCCCCGTCTATGAAGAAGAGCTCGAGATGTCCATCTCATGACAATGGAAAGACAGAAATGAACTTGAAGTCTCTGTTTAAGGGTCAGTGCTCTTTAAGAGGAAGGTAGGCTGGTAACACCCACAAAAACCCCTCATGACACCTCTGGACGGATGGGAGTCAGCCCGTTCTCTCCTTTCGCCCTGCCACGAGCTTGGGGAGCACTCTCCTAACAGACGTGGCTCTGGCCCTGCCCTGCCCCCCCTCCCACAGCACAGGGAGCACAGGAGCGCCAACAAGACTAGAGGAGGAGGGCAGGACAGGAGTCCGAAAAGGCAGTGCCTTAGGGACACCTCCCTCCTCAGCCTGTCCCCAGCGTCGAGAACCACCGCAGACAAATGACGCCTGTTACATCTACGTCCGCCCTCTTGGTTAAGAAAAAGGAGCACTCCTTTTCAACTCACCTTCCGTGAGTGTCGCTGACAGTAAGACGTTCTGTCGTTTCTGGCACTCAGCATTTACAGCATTGAGTATCACCGTGATATCCTTTTCAAAACCCAAATCCAGGATTCTGCGGTTTCAAGAGAGGGAATTTTACTCTGCACGCGAAGTAAAGACTGCAGTAAGCCAGCAGAAGCAGCTCTTTTCCCCACTTTTCATGCTCCTGGGTGAGGCTCACCTGTCTGCTTCATCCAAAATCAGCCACCGTATCCGACGAAAATGAATGTTCTTCGTGGATTTGATATGATCCACCAGCCGCCCAGGAGTCGAGATAAGGATATTTATTCCTTTGCGGAGTCTGTTTAAAATTATGTATCGTGAAAGAAAGTAAATCACATGGGGCCAGCTCTATCAACAGAAAACACCGCAAACAGGCACGGGGGACAGATTCATGTCTAGCACCAACGTGCACGGTGTGAAGCCACGACAAACACGATGGCGGCTGGATGCAGAGAGAGAGCTGAGTTTTCATTTTCCTCCAAAGTTTCTCTTGTATAGAATGTAATTATTAAGATCCAAAATTACATTAAATTCATAAAACCTTATATTTGAAAGGAATCTGTAGTACATAAATCAATGCCCTTTATCTGATCCGTGTATCCTTTCTTTCTAGAACAGTCCAGATCGATGATCATCTAAGCCTATTCTTGAAGGTTTCTGTGCCAGGGACCTAATGAGTTATCCCACACAAATGTGACCCAACGGCTAGAATGTTTACTTATACTGAATCTTTTTACTTATACTGGTAAGGTCTGCATCAGCAGACCTCCATACAACGGGGCCCAGCTTTGTTCTATAGACTAGGGAGAATAAATCTAAGTTCTTACTCCCAGACATCCTTTATCCCGTATTTCCATAGCAATAAAAGGTTCCAATTTTTAGCTGAGTTTATTTCCAGCCTCTTTTGAAGTTAAATATGGTTGTGTGCCTACATTCGAGCATGGGACAGAAGGACAAAGACCACAAGTATCTTTGGAGGGAGGACGTAGGATTATCTTTGTTTCTGCCGGCAGGGAGCAAGATGTGATGGCTGGAGCTCTAGCAACCCTAAGACTATGGAGTACCCTTAAAAATGGAAGCTTTGCTTAGCAGCACAAAAAGATAGAAGCGACTTAGATCCTGATCCCAGAGAACCATGCCGGCCTGGGATGGGCTACAGCAGGCTTCTTAAATGTGAAAGAAAAAGAAAACGGCCACATGTTTGTGCCACTGTTTTTGTTTTGTTGTTATTTATGGCTGAATCAAACCTAACCAATACCTTTAGGTTTCAAGTTTAGTATTTACTCCTCGATTACAAACTGCACACACGTGACTGGGGGTTACTACCGCGCACTAAGATACAATAAAGACGTTTCAAAAAGAATATAGACAAATTTACCTGTTGCAACATTTTCTCCTGACCCCCAATACCACTTCCAATACGGAAGTCCGAACCAGTGTTTTAGATATAAGAAGCAAAGTGTAGAGCGTTACGTAAGTTTATGACCTTGTTTTTGTGGAGCCAAACAAGACCCTAAACTCCCAATTAAACAAAAGAGAATCGCCAAGGGGGTGGACACGAAACAAGGGGGACTCAGGGGTGCCGGGGGGGTGGACAGAACTTGAGAGGATAGTGAGCACCACTACCAACCACATCAGAAGGAAAACCCTTATAGGTTCATCAGTATTTGTCAGGACAACACCATCAAGAGGTGACCACTCCCTGCTGCCTCAACTGGTCCCTGCGCTTGAGGGACGAGGAAGCACAGTTTGAGATAAGGCTCTCTCCAGGGTTAGAAGGACCAAATCCCAGTGACTAGGAAGGCAGAACAGACAGATCCAATCAGGAATGGGTAACAAACAAGGGTCCCCATCCATACCTGGCCTTTTCTGATTTCCTTCTCTCTCCTCCCATCAACACTCCAGGCACAATCCAGTTAAATGGCTACGGAAAAATAGCAGACAAAAATCACTGCAAAGCCCTCCTTAAAGATTTTATTTATTTATTTGATAGAGACAGAGAGAAAGAGAGAGCGAGCCAGAAAGCACAAAGTGGAGGGCAGCGAATGGTAGAGGGAGAGGGAGAAGGAGGCTCCCTATGGACAAGGGAACCTCAGGTGGGGCTCCATCCCAGAACCCTGGGATCACAACCTGAGCCGAAGGCAGACACACAACCAACTGAGCCACCCAGGCGCCCCATTAAAGCCCCCTTTACTGAAGATACAGAGACTGATTCCAAGTTCTTTTTCCTTAGAGAAGCTGGGAGAGAAGACCTGGGCTTCTCATTGTAGGAGGTACGACTGTGCAGACACAATTCCTAGGCCTCGCCCCTGCCATGTGGATAGATACCAGCAGTACTCCCTTAAATTACAGCTCTTTAACTAGCTTCTAGGACAGCAAGAGAAATGGGAGCTTTCTAAATGATTTCAGTAGCTTCTCTGCCTTTCCCCATGGAGCCTGAGTTGAAAACACATTTCACTAAGTCTACTGCCTCTTCTTCCTTTCTGGGTACAATAAAACCCAAGCACAAACCTTCCTTATTCCCCACCCTAGACAAAAGAAAGGACAGCTCAATTCTGGATCAGTTTGGTAGGCTGGCAGGCTTTGGATCTGAAGCCCTCTCTCTTCTTTCTTAAGTCCTTTAGCTTTCCATGCAATCCCTTCGTGGTTGTCCCTGTTGAGTCTCCGCATGTGGCTTGCCAAGGACCACGGGGAGCAAACTACGGCATAGCAAGTGCCAGGAAACACTTGTCATCTCAGCTGGAAACTGGCAGTTAGTAAAGTCTAGATAAGTAAAATCCTACAAATTATACCTGGGCAGAGCAGAGAGACCCAGGGAATCCAGAAAACCTGAAAGAATTTCTTGATTTTTGAAAATAAAGATAAGACTGGCAGACTTATCTTTTCTCAAAAAGGAAAACAAAGATAAAACTGAACTCATGGCTCACCTCACCTTAAGCAGTTTCTGGACAGTGTCAAAGCTTTGCAGAGCCAGCTGTAAAGAGTGAAAAGTTACAGATAATAAACGAGGTTGTTCCTCCTCCCATCCGCACCCCGTCACCCCCAACTTTTAAAAACCTTCAGACAACGTAAAGTGATTCGGATTCCAACTCGGACCTTAAGTTAAGATTTATGAAAAACAAAATCGGATACACAGCATCTACTCAGAACAGAACATCTTATTCTTATATTCCTTCTGGAACTTGTCAGTTTGGAGACTGTGGACAGAGATATTGCGTCCACTCCTTGGACATGCACAAAACTAGTGTCTTGTGCTCCCTCTGCTGGCTCAAATTCCCAGAGTGCCACACAGAGAAGCACAAGTGTATGGTGCACACGGATGGAGAAGCGGAACAGCATCACCCTGAATGTGCCTCCCTTTGGGAAGAGAGAACAGAACCCGCGGGAGGGAATCACCTGGAACAGTGCTCAACGGGCCAGCCTCTGGGCACACTCCTTTAAAGGAGGTATGAGGTACCCTTCAAATATGGCAAACAGGGCACTGAGAGGTGGTCACTCCCCAAGTTTATTAAGGGAACAAAGTCAAACAATCCTAGTGGAAACCAGAGGAGGTGAAAATTAATGAAGGTTATAACCACTAACAGCCATCAAGAAGCCTCAACATAATCCCTTTATCCAAGGGTATGTATACAGTTGCCACATGCTTAGTATTCATGGTGCATCCTAGGGAAGTAGCAAGTTTGCTGCTGTAAAAATGTAAATAGCTTCACGCCTGCTCCTTCACAGGACTGATACAAGACAGGGCATGCAGGCTGTAGGACAGGCTGAGTACGACCCTCCGTCTTCACGATCTGCTCTCTGCAAGGAAGTAATCAGCATTTGATATAGAAAACAGATACCCTAATCTAAACTCGCCTCTCTAGGCAAATAAAATAGATCAGATGGAAGAGACTTCCACCAAGAAAGAAGAAAAACATCAAGAAGCTAAACTTTGAAGAACAAGTAAAATCTTTAGTACAGCAGCCTCTAATTTTTAATTAAGTTATAAAACAAACCAAAAAAGTAGAAAATGTAATTATTTTAATTCCATTTAAAAGTACAGAAATTTATAGTGTCATTAGTTTTTAGACAATAGGGAAATGCTTTTCCATACTCAGCTTACGATTTTCAAAGAGTACTTGAATTTTTCTCCTTGATGGGAATCAAAAGGATGGTCCCAGGCAAAGGTAAGGATGCAGCAGGGAGAAAAAATGGAAGAAACCCACTTCTAAATTCAAAAGGATCTTACTTCCAAAAGGAAAGTACCTGCTTACAACCCCACCGAAGGTGAGGCAGCTTACCTCTCTGGTGAGACAGCTTACCTCTCGTGTCGGCACCAGCACCAGGGCGTAGGGGCCATCACTGCGCTATCAGTACAGAAGGAAAGAAATGCCATGAGTGGATGGACGAAGGTCACAGGACTCCAGGTGGACAGAACTTGAGGGTGGTCCCTTGCACATGTCAGCGGTAGTCTCATTAAGGAGGGGACTACGATGTCCACTACCCTATTATCCTATTATTATGCAACCTTGTTCTAAAGGCTCCGGCCCACGCAATCAGACAAGAGAAAGAAATACATATAAATTTGGAAAGTAGGAGGTACACCTGTCATTCTTAGCAGATGACATTTTAGCCTAAAACAAAAACCTGAAGAGAATCAATTGAAAATCTACCACAAAAAAGACAACTTAGTCAAGTAGCTGAATGTAAAATTAATAGTACACAAATCTATAGCCTGACACAAAAGTTACAAAATACAATGGAAGGGGGGAAAAAACACACCAGAGCAGCAACAACAAGCTTGACAAAAAATGTACAAAATCTACATGACACACATTTTAAAACACTTCTGAGGAGCATAAAATAAAATCTGAGTAAATGGGAATATGTATCCTATTCTTGGATAAGAGGGTACCATATTACAAATAAGCTAATTCAAAGTTAACCCACAACTGGGACATAAACCTAACAAAACTGCCACAAGTATGTACATGTGCACACAGCTTATGTAAAAAATACATACAATCAGACAAGCTGATTAAAAACGTCTATGAAAAATAAATGTGTAAGAATAACCAAAATATGTCTGAAAACATCAGATGTTGAAACAATTTAAAACTACTCTAATTAAAAAAAATTGACACTGGAATATAAATTGAGATTACAACAGCAAACAGTCCAGAACAGAATCAAGTTTACACAGAATGGGAGGAAGTAAGCAGCGTCTTGCATCAGTGGTGTTAAGACAAATTATTCAGACTTCAAGAACGAAGTCAGGAAAGTCAAGTTGGAATTAAGTCAGCCTTTTTACAGATGACGCAAAACTCAGAAACTGTCAAACAAAACACTAATAAATCCTATTACATAAAAATTTTTAACTTCAGAATGGAAAAATAATACCCAAACAAAATCAAGTACTAGATGACAAAATGAGGGGAAAACATGCCACTTGTAAGAGAAAGTGCCAATTTCCTTGGTTGACAAAGGTCTGTGATTCAAATAAAAAATAAAAATAAAAAAGACCACAACAACCGAAATAGAAAACAGGAGCAAGAAAACCAGCACAGCAGGTAGCTTCTCAAGGGCGTGGGCAAGGAGCTCCTGGGCGCCCTGCTGTGGGGCACATACCTCGCCTTCGCCCACTGCAAGTTCAACTGTGTTTATCTACTAAGTAAACATGCGACTTCCACTTCCAGGGATTTCTCTAAACGATGTCCCCTCGTAAGCACGCATAAAAAAGTCAAATATTTTACAGACCGTGAAGTATGCAGACTAGCCTTATTTGTAGCAAAACACTGACATAATGTAAATTCCACCAATGAGCGACTGATGTGGTAACTTGTGGAGGCGACAGGCATCGGGATACTAGGGGCCCGTTACAAAAGCAAGGCAGATGGGTGGGGCACTGCTAAGACAATATCCCTGAACACATTAAGTGAACCAAAGCAAGGTACAAAACACCACGCACAGCACGCAACCACTTGTGCATCAAACCACACACACAGAAGCTCCAAGGAAAGCGGGAAGGGGAATCCGCGTGCTCACACTCACTCCAGCGGAGATGAGCCCTGGGAGGACCACCCAACTGGCAGGAGACCCTCGCGCCCGAAAGAGCGGTGCCCTGCCGCTGGGGAGAGGAAGTGTGAGACTTACTTCCCACCATGTATTGTCGGGTACTTTTTTTTTTTAACGTGTACATTGTATCTAAAAAATAATAACAAAGATAATAATAAGAAAACAAAAAGCAAGCCGGGGAAGGCCTCGGTCAGTGGCGTCTTGCATCTCTAGAGTGCTCACGGACACTTAGGAATTAATCAAAGCGACGTTAGCACGGGAGCTAAGTGCAGGTTTCAAGCTGATTCAATTCCAAGCAGGGTCTTTATGTTCTGCATAGGCAACATTTACCCATAAGGAGAAAAGGATTTGGAATTCGAACTAGAGCCATCTGTACTCGATATCACGTCTGCGGGGCCGAGGCGAGGAACAGTAAACATGTTAGTACAACATATCAACGTGTCGCGGTGTGACGTTAGGAGATTCTGACATTTCAAAAGGTGTTACTACACAGAGAAGAAGAAAGAAAAATCAATTCCTCGCAGGGCAGAAGTGAGTAAAGAAGGACGGATGTGTTGTTAAAAAAATCAGAGCCCACATAACTGGAAGAGTGAAAACGCAGGAAAGCAATCCGTTCTCATCCCATCACCAAAGTAATTTACGACTCTGCTGGGTGCCCTGAGTTCGCCGCTCCCTCCAGATAGGTTTTTCACAGGTCAAATCATTTTACGATGAACTCCAAGGGTCTCTACTGAATATTACTTGAAATAAATGAATTAAATTTGGACTTAAGAGAACTCTTTTACAGAATATTTCAATCTTTAATAGAATGAACTGCTATGGACGCTAAAATACACGGAATGAATAAAAACGACCACGCGCTGGTAAACATTTCTAGATAATAAGCAAATCAAATCGTTGCCTTTCAAACGAGCCACAAGCTGTGCCGTGGAGAGCGGCGGCCATGCCGCGTGAGCAGGTGCTGCCGCGGAAGCTGGCCACCAGCCGCTCTCCGCCCTCCACGTGCGTCAGCTCAGGAGCCTCACGGCAACCCTAGAGCCACACACCACACGCGAAGTCACTGACGCACAGAGGGACGAAATGGTTTGCCTAAAGACACACTCAGATCCGGGCTTTGAGCAGAGCTGCCCACCGCACGGTCGCCCTTAGGTATGTAATCCAATCTCTCCCGCCCTCAGGTCACTGACCTATGAAATGAGACAGCTGCGCTGGAACTACGGGCCCCACGCCTGCTCAAGGATTCCCCGAATCTACAACCTTATAAAAAACAAAACAAAAAACAAAGCAAAACAAAACCCCCCCCCAAAACCCATGGCTAGTAAGAAACTCTCCTAGAATTTATAAATGGATGACTTTCCTACGTTATGGCAACACTCAGCCTCTCTCCCTCTCTAGCTAGGTACGAGTCCCATGCTAAGTCCTTTATTTGAGTTATCACACTGAAAAGTGCCCAATGGGAAGGGAAAAATCAGTCACCTGCAGGAAATAAATTCCTCATTTACCCACCTCAGAGGAAACCAGTATGAATAGTTTCTTCCTCGTCTTTTTATGCACACACGCAGGGCATTATTTATGAAATCAGATCATCCTGTACATACTGCTTTGTACCCTGCCTTTTTCGTTTTAACATGCAAGAACACTTGTCAAGTTCACAAACAGAAACCACTTTTAATGTCTATGTAAGGTCCCACCACTTGGATGTTGTGTAGGATTTCGTTTTATTGATTTAAAATTGTTTAAATAAAACTTAAGTATAATTTAAAAACTCATCTTAAAATAAATTAAGGCTTAGAAAAAAATTACACCAACAGTGCAAAGAACTCTCTTATACCTTCTCCCAGCTTCCTCCTACGGTTCTCAAGTCTCAAAATCCCAGTACGATGATCAAAAGCAGGGACTCAGCACTGATGTGAGACCGAATTAATCCACAGCCCATATCCTGACTTCACTGACTGACCTCTCCGTGTCCTCTCCCCAGACCAGGACCCAGTGCAGGACCACGTGTTGCACTGAACTGTCGCGCCTCCTTCGTCTCTTTTAACCAGGGGTAGTTCTTCGGCATTTCTGTTTTTGGTGACTGGAATACTTTGGAACACTAGCAGCCTGTCACTTTATAGGTCTCTAGATTTGTGTTTGTCTGGTATTTGTTCGTGATTAAATCCGGGTGACGCGTGTGGGGCAGGAAAACCACACAAGTGGGGCTGTGACCTCTCTGGAGACGCGCAGGCTGACACGTCCCGGCACTGGGGCGGCCCACGCTGGCTGCCTGGGTAAGGCGGTGGCAGCCAGGCCTCCCCAGCCTGAAGTGACTGTTTGTCCCTTTGAGGTTAAGAGGTATTTCATAGGGAGATCTATTGAGACTAGGTAAATATCCCATTTTTCATCAGACTTTCAGCCCTCATTTTGGCGGCTATGACGTGCGACACTGTGTTACTTAGGCACTGGCCGATGGTGCTGCTCTCCTACAATACTGTGAGACCCGCTTCTCCTTTTCCCGTCGATTTATCTATTCCCTCAATAATTTATCAGTTTGTACTATCTATCTACTTATAATCTATCTACAATACAATCTATCTACAATAATCTATCAGTTTGTACTCATGGGTGCTGGTTGTAACCTGTGGTCTATAATGCAATGCTACCACTGCCTGCTTATCACTCGGTATCGGGTGGGGTGGACACACACCTAATTCTGTCTGCCCGAACTGAGGGGAAAAAAAGTAACCAAGGAGTTCTTCCCACCTGCTGTACACCCACCTGACTTCCTAGTTCAGATCTCACCATGTCCTCTCCACTGAGGATAACCAGGATGTATTTGTGGGGACTCTGAGCTGGGTTTTGAGAGGGTGCCTGTGCCCCCAGAGCCCGGCGGTTAATGCGCCTCCTACAGGACCCTGGGACCCCACTTTCGGCCCCTCTGGCCCGGGCACTACCTGTGTTTCCCAACTTAAGACAAGTACTCCTCCGCTGCTCCCCAAGCCTCCGTCTCTTTCTGTAAACTCAGGCTAACAGTAATACCTGTAACTCACCAGAACGAGGCGTGGGGTTTAAGATTCAAGAAGATAAACACAGACAAAGAATCCAGCACAATGTCCAACACAAGGAGCATGTACTTTACAAATGTTTCCTATTAGACCTGCCATGATGATTACAAAGTATAGTTTTTCTAGTTTCTCTGGACACAATCCTCAGACACAAAGTGTTCATGTAATAAATGAGTCAAAAAGAAAAAAACACTGCTAAATGGAAACAGATTCTTTTGGTCCCAGTATCACTACTTCGGTTCAGTTGGATGTTGCTTATGTACTATGAGCAGTAACGGAAAAACACTATACTCACCTGTATTTTTGATTTCATTGCTTGAAGAGACTGGACCACAGGGATGCAGTAGGCTAGAGTTTTACCTTTTAAAAAATTACAAAAGCAATTAAAATCATAGACCCTAAAGATGTAGGAAAAGCAAAGGAAGTTAAGAAAATGGACTCTACCTTTGGATAGCACTAAACTCCGGAGACGGAGAAAGTGCACATCCAACATCCAAGAGAGGCGAGAACGGAATTTGCCTATCTGCCCCAAGTCCCCATCTTGTTTGTAAATCCAGTACTTCCCAAAAAACCTGCCGCTAAAATCCTTCATCCATCTAACAAAGGGAGACAATGACACATGTCACAAGTTACACAAAGGCTCGACTTGAGGACTGCCCCTCAAAGCTAGAAAACCCCTTTAAAGTCGCCCCTAACCATGCACCTGAGCTTCACGGCTGAGTAAATGACCTGCACGGCGCTGACGTGCTTGGGAGACAGCCTGAACCCCGAGCCAGCCTCCGAAGACCATGGAGAAACCAAGGAATGGCAAAAGCTTCGGGTTTCCACCCACCCGAATGGTGCCTGAGCTGGGGAGGGGGTGGGGCGTGGTGAAGAGCCAACCCGCCATTCCGGGCACAAGAGGGGCAGAAGAACGAGTCTACAGAAAATCTTGGAACACGCAAAAGCGGTGTTCTGTGTTGGAGCAGAACTGGCATCTGAATAGCGTGTGCTCACGCCGGCACTGTGCTCTGGGATCAGAGAATACTCATGCCCCGCTGGAGCGCGGAGGGCAGCTCGGGCCACAGATGTGGGACTGGGCACAGCCCTGACAGAGGCTGACCACCTCCTGATCATTCCTGATCGCAGCACCACCAACCTCCCCTCCCTTTCACTAGGGGAACAAATTCAGGGCTCTCCTCCAGAGCAGGCATGGCCTCCCTCCTTCCCCCAACAAAGGAAAGCCACCGCTGCCACAGACAGACACCTCACTATGGAACCTACCGTGTGAGTGTGGCCTGGGTGTCAGGGAAAAGGGTCAGAAGTTAAGTGGCGACTGACCTGAGCCCGTCTGTGATCTCACCAGAGCATCTCTGCCTTCCAGCAACGCCGGAATACTTTGCTTCTGAACGCTTGGGCCACCCAAAAGAAAGAACACATGCTGAGCTGTAACAGTTTACCCTCCCCTGTTTACAGGCACAGACGCAGGACACACAAACCACAACTGCCCCCATTCTTTGCTGTGTCTGCCAACTGCTGCTTTAAAAGTCACCTAAACATTCAAACGAAGACACTGAGAAACTTTTGATGAATGGAGGGATAAGAGCTCAGTTCAGTTTCTGGAACTCAGCTGAAAATACTGAGGCGAGCCAGGACTGGCCACTCTAGCAAACGGATTAGAAAGAAAAATGGCACAGGCATGATGACAAGCTCGAGCTACCATGAGAGCATACCCGTCCTCCCACCCCCGCCTCCCGTGGCAGGCTCTGGGACCCAGTAAGACGTGACAGGAAGATTCCCAGCAAAAGAGTACAAGGAATCTTGTGAGCCAACCACACAGCCTGCAGCTACTTCCCAGTTTCCAAAAAACCGAGGTGTGACTATCACGCACGCACACTAAGATGTGTGTCCACACGTGTATTTAAAAAACAAACAACAAAAAGGGCACAGAATTCATTTAAATTTGATCGGTAAAACTGAACAACAAAAAAAAATGGGTAAGAGGGGTTCTCCTTTTATTCTTCAAGACCCTTACTAATTTATACCTATGACTTAAATGTGATGGTTAGTAAAATTAAACCATAAAGCATATACACTCACAAAAAGGAAGTTCATCTCTTCTCTGTACCTTTTACTATTCTATTTTCCAAGAATCATCACTCTTAAACATTCAAAAAATTTTTTTTCTGTATCCCATTATACCCGACCAAATATTTACTTCTTTCTTTTTTGCTGCCTCTAGTTCTTACTACTAAAAAATGACGTGACAAATTCTATATAGTGGACATATGATTTTCAATGTGGCAAGGACACCAGTGGGATCCCATGCAGACATATTTTGGATCGGATCAGAGCTGAGAACAGAAGTAGTTGGGACTCAGTCTCTCCACTTAACAAGTGGGGGAACTGGGTGGGTGAGTGCTGTCTCAAGCCCTCAATGGGCAACAATCCAGCAGTGTTCTCTAACACCAAGACACAAATTTGCTCAGTGCTCCACAGATAATTCCGATTTCGCTGGTCATACACATTCAAGTCTTAACAAAAGCAAGGCTGGCCTGGAACCCTTACCTGGTCATACTAGTCATGTTTAAGACCGTATTTATTGTGGAAATCTAAAAGAGAACACACAAAATATTTTTAACTACTGACTTTTTGGCACAAATATATTTAATGCAAATGAGGATGCAAAGAAGGAGAAGACACTGGGATAAAAACAATGGCTGTGCTTCCTCCAACCCGTGTTCTTCCAACCAGTGAGTGTCACCTGGGGGTGGTCCTGCTCACCATCCCCCACTCCCCATTCCCCTACACACATAAATGCGCGCGCGCGTGCGACAATGTCTGGAGAAATTTTTGTTGTCCCAAGTGGGGCGGGGGACACCGCTGGCATCAAGGGAGTAGTCATGGAGGGCTGCTGACCATCCTGTCACGCACAGGACAGTGCCCGTGAGTTATCCATCCCCAAATGGCCACAGCATGAACCTGCTCGATGTCCTCGCTCAAACCCATAGGTAAGAAAACGGCTTATGTGAGCCATCCGAAAGGGGTAAGTAAATTGTGACCATAGGAACAGAGGAAATCCAGACTCCCTAAAAGTTAATGCATTTTTTTCTCTTACTCATAAATAAGAGCGGAAAGTTCATTCACAGTCCAAACAAACCAAAAAACCCCCACCCATTTGTTTGTAGACAATGTATGTTAAAATAGCCTCGTCTTCCTTCAATTCTTTGTAACAAGAGACTACCCTTGATATGAAGACACCAGCTCCGTCCCCTCTCCTACAGTCATTATGACCCGTCACCCACATCAGCTTCCACGTCCCATCCACCCACTAATTAGGAGCTTATCCTAGAGTCCCATAAACAGAGCCCCAGGCCTACTTTGAATTAGGTGAGGAAAGTGTTTAGTTCTTTAGAAAGGGGGTGGGGACGGAGGGAAGGGCAGTGAACAGTAAGCTAAACTCACCGGGATTGTCCTGGAAGAGCATCTTGTCGATCTGACTTCATTCAGGTAACTTGGAGCAAAGTAACCAGCCTTTGCTTTTTCTTCCTAGAACTGTCATTTCACAGACCTTCCCAAGGAAGAACCACACTGAAAGAATGGAGAGACACTTACTAAATGCGGGTGGAGGTCCAGTTCATGGAAAGCTTCTGAAGTGAACACCTCTTCTTGCACCTGCTTTACTACCGGTCTGCAAACGACGAGCAAAACCCAGGCATCAGTTCCCGTCGACAGAGAAAAAGGCAGAAAACACTGAACTCCTCCTGTTCCTGAGCGCACCTGCCCCTGAACATACCTGTGGAGCTCTGGGATTTCAGGGTTGTTTTTAAATAACGATGAAGTCCTAACGCACAGCTTCTGTTCTCGGGTTCCGTCACTCACACCGACCAAAGATTTCCTTGGAGAAAGTGTTTTCTGTGCCTTCCCCTTGAAAGTCCTTTGTGTTTCTTCAGCAGCAGCTTTCTTGGCCAGGAGAAGCGCTGCCTTGTTCCTCCGCTTGGCTGGGGGAGCCTCCCCGGAGGCCTGGTGTTTTCTTTTGGCGGCCTCTGTTTGCTGCGTTGTTCCCAAAAGGCAAGAGCAGCAAGAGATGCATTAGTCCATGAAGACAGACCTCGGAGTGAAGCCTGACCGCCCACGGAACTGCATCTCTCCCTGCAGAGAGCACTACGCCCCATATGTCAAGCAACAGTTTAGGGTCTGCAGTCAGATTCTTTGACTCAGCCTTTTTCCCCAAAAAGAAAAAAACAAACAAAATAAAACAGTTCGAAACACAAACACTCAGCTCATTCATCCACTAGACCTCACCATCCATCTTCACCATCAGCTCCACCAAGATGAGGGTAAGGATCAAGAAGGGAGAAGCCTTTGTGGGGCTGAATGTGAACAAATGCGAGTCTGTTTTAAGGGAGGAGAAGCCCACCTTGTCAAGAGTGTGCGCTGTCAATCCTTACCTCTAGATGTCCACCTACACAAAAAGAACAGGGCAGGGGGGAGCACATCCTCTTTCTCCACCAACAAAGCCTGTTGGTAACTAGACCTGGGATGCCGCAGCCCTGCCCATGCCCAGGAAGCGGGAACCTTCATTACTGCTCTACCCCAGAGTGCTTGGATCGCTGTCATCCTCCCCCCTCACGCTGCTCCCCGGATTCAGATGGCTTGGAGACGATTCCCACTCGCCGTTTCCATTCCAAATGAGAATTCTGCTCCATCCATCACTTCTACCACAATTATTTCCAACTCTCCTTGCCTTTCAGGCCCCATCCGATCGCCGACTGCAGGCTACAACGCTCAGCGTTTTCCGGCCTGTTGCTTATTTCTGTAACGCGGATGTGGTTACGCGCACGACGTCCACACTTCTCCCAGGAGAGGAAACATCCAATTTTCTTTGAAGAAACATTTTATTTTCCTTGGCCTTCTCTTCCAATTTCCACATGAATAAAAAACATCCCATGAGTGGCCAGGGCTTATTGTCCTGGCATTTTGGTTTCTCCTGGAATGCTATTTTCCCCTTCGCTTGAAATGATGGATTCCATTTACACATCAGCTTGCTTTGGCCATGGCTGTCAGCTTCAGGCTAACCCACCAACAGCAACACTTGTTTGTTCCCGACAACTACAGAACTCCTGTATCTAAATAATTCAATAAATACACCTTGGAGTATTTACTATTAACAAAGGAAGTACTGACCTACTCCATCTTACAAATCTATCCTTACAAAGTCCCAAGTTTATGAGTGTTCAGATTAAAGAAAGAGATAAAGTCACGTTCCAGGTCTGTTGAATCATTTACAAGGCAGAATGAAACATGTTGCCGTTCCTTGATTTATGGAACAATGCACTCTTTGGAGCACTCCCACCAGGCATGGGCTTCCTACTACAAGCTCCTCGACAGGTGGCCTTGCGGTATGCCTTGCCTACACATCTCCCCTTACCGTTCTCCATCGCTGGAGACACCAAATTCTAGGGGTTGGAAGCTGTTTCTGACACTTGGACAGGATCTGCCACCTTGATCAACTCTCTGCTAGTCTGAGGCATCCCATTCCTTCACACATCGTCTAACTGCCTGTTTCTTCTTTGGACTTAGTAGCCCAAATAGGACACAAGCTTTCAATCCTTTCTCATCCCAGTCACCTTCTATTCTCACGTCATCTGTTCTCTAAAAGCAAGCATTCAGAATTAGGCATAATATTTCACAGGCTCTCCGCTGCTCTTAGGCTAAAATAGAAAACCTGTAATATGATCTATAAAGCCCTCTAGAAACTGGCCTCTGCCCATCTCAGTGCCCTCATCTTGTGCCTCAGTCGTCCTGGTCTTCCTGAGTTCCTAGAAAGCACCATGCTTCTTCCTTCCTCAGGGCCTTTGCACATGCTATTGCCATACCCATGTCTGCAACACCCTTCCGCCCCACCCTTTGGCTGGCTAACTCAAACTCATCCTTTAGATCTAGGCTTACTGGGTCCTCAGAAGAACCTTTCCTGACCTCTTCTCTCCACCTAGTCAGGCCAGGGCTCCTACTCTTGGCTCTCCTAGGAGGCACCCTTTGTCTTCACTGTAGCATTCAGTACAATTACAAGCATGAAATGTAATTTGTTACGTGGGGTCAGTCATCCCCATTAGACTGTAACCTCTATAAGGAAATGGACAAGTCTGTCCTGCATGGCACTGCACCCCCTGTATGGGCTCAATTCTGCCCAGAGTAAGTGCTCAATAAACACTTGTAAGATGAATGACAACGATGGAATTATCCCTTCCCATAATGTGGACGCTATTCCACTGCTTGTTAGCTTTTCTGTCCCAGCATCCACAACACATTCTTTTAAAAACAAAACTGACCACTCAGCAGCTGCCAAGTAGCGTGGTTCTGAGCATACAAGGCTGAAAAACTAGTCAAGCCCTTGAGGAACTCACAGGTTAGTGGAAGAGACGAAAAGTATAAAACCAGAAACCCAAACCTGTGTTTGTACTCAGAAGAGGTCTGTACAAAGGATTAAGGAAGCACGAAACAAGGAGGCCACCACGGCCTACGTCAAGGGGAAAGGAGGGCAGGAAACAGAAATGCCTCATGAGGTGGCGCCTGAGCAAAGAGGAGCAAGGACGCACCTGCACTTCTAAAAAGTCGGCTCTACAACACTAAGCAAATTACCTCCCTCTGAGCCTCTGTTCCTGTACCTGTAAGACAAGGGGGTTCTGGCAGATGACCTCTATGGCCCATCCAGCCCTAAAAGTCTAAATACTAAGCTTCTGATATTAATAAATACACTAGAGCCCCGGAAATATGCTAAGTACTTATGTGAATTAGCTAATATATCATCCCATTTTAAGATGAGAACACGGAGGCAGAGATAGGAGGTAATTTGTCCCAGGATCGCTGAGGGATCCAGGCTTTGCTCAGGCCCTGATTCTACGGCCAGGGTTCCGGATGGTTACGCTGTAATACTATTTATTAACTGTATCCTGTTTGGTTGGAAAACAGCATGTGTAACTTGATCTCTTGTTTGCTTTCTATGAGGATATACACCAAAATGTTAACCAGAGTTACCTCTGAGTATAGCAGTTATGGGTTTTTTTCCTTTAAGGTCCTTATTTCCCTATTTCCTACAATAAACTTGTATTACCTGAATAATCAAAAAAATTTTTTTAGAATGAAAACACTATATACTCTTACGCACAGCATCACTTAAGTTGTCGAGGCCTTTCCAAATGTGGTGTATTAGTTAACCGCCCCAAATTCAGGCCCCTGGCAAATGAGACTGGCATACTGTAATTCCCATTCAAGACAAAAAATGTGGATGCAGACGAAGGCAATGTAGACCCCCGTCATCATCTCACTAACACACAACCTTTTGACGCGGCGGTTCAAGCGATCAAGAAGCCAGACATCCTGTTTTTATCCCTTCAGCTCACTCAAGGAGGTGTTAATGCTTCCCCTGTGTTACCAGGCACCTCCGCAGCAAAAGCACCCCAATAACCCCTGGACACAGCGATTCCGTTACTCAAAATGGAACCAACACGACTTTACTTACCATTGGCATTTACTAAGTGCTTCTATGGGCCAGAAAATAGAGTCTTCGTATATTTTATTTACTCCTCACAATAACTTCGTATAAAATAGAAACTTGTTTATATCTACTCTTTATTTGGTGGACAATTTTATGTCTACCCTGCATTTTACAATCGTTTTACAGATTGGAAAAGTAAGGTCCAGAGAGGTGAAATAACTTCCCCAAGTTCACAGAACCAGCGAGTTGCAAGGTGGGCATCTAACCCCAGGTCTGCTACTCCAAATCCCAGGCTCCCAGAGGCTCTTCGGTACTTCCGTTTCCTCCTCCCAGAGAAGCAGCAACCCCAGTGCTTAGCTGAAAACTCCTACTCCCAAACCTCTATATCCTAAAGCTTGATTATCACTGAAAAGTCACCAAAGACAATCCTTCTACACACTCGAGGAGTATCAGCTTCAACACGCTGGGATTAGCTGTTGCTTTCTGGAGAAAACACACACCTTCCTCCGCACGAGGTGGTATAATTTCTGGCCTCTGTGGTAACTCGGGATTCTACAACAGATTTTCTGCCCTGCAGCCCTGCTCTCTTCCAGGCGAGAAGTCAACCATCAAACCCGTTCCCAGCTCTGGCTCGGTTGAAATTTAAAGCATCTTTCCCCTCCCCAGGAAGCGGGTTATACGGGCGCTCCGTGTTCTTCCCCACTGCACGTGGGTGAGAATCTATGCCATTTCTGAAAGCTCTCGAAGGAGGCCTCTAGGCTCCGGTCCCCGTTCCTGCACCGAACGACCTTCCATCGAGGCACCGGCGGTGAGAGAAGTTAGGAGGTGTGGCTAGCAGGCGCCGGGCTGGCACCCCCGGCTGGCACCCCCCTGCGGCAGTCCCTAACTTGGGCGGGAATCAGCTCCCATCCCCTACGCGACCTTCGGGGCCCTCCGACCAGCAGCCCGAGCCGGCAGACGCCCCTCCACCCCGGCTCCGCGGCCGCCCAGAACGTCCCGGCGGGGCAGTGCTCCGAGCCCAGACACGTGCCGTTCAGCGACTTCTCCAGAAGCTGCTAGACAGCCCACCTCCCCCCGTAACTCGGTCGGTAGCTCGGAACCCTGCCCAGAGGCGAGGCGGCAGCTCGTGTCGTGCGGCAGGCTGGGCCGCGGCGGCGGACGGCTCGGAAGCCGGGTCAGAACTCACCCGCCTCGCCTGGGCCCAGCGGGGTCCGGAGAGCGTCCCGGGGCCGCCGGCCGGGGACTCCGCAACGTGGAGGAGCGGCCCGCCGGCGGCTGCCATGGCGCACGGCGACGCGCTGGCACAGGCGGACACGGGCGGGCGCCGGCACCCGCTGGCGCGGCCAGACCTCCGGAACCCGGCCCGGAGCTCGCCTTGGCCCCACGTGGGCGGCGCGCGAGGACCCCGCGTAGCTGCCCCGCCGGCTCCTGCGGCCGCGCCCCTTCCGGGTCCCTAGAGCCCAGGGGCCACGGCGCCGGGGGCCTCGGGACAGGGTGGCTGCTCCGCTCGGCGTCCCTCGCGGCTCGCCCCGCGGCGGGCGATGCCACATGACACCCAGCCCTGGGGTTCATGCTGGTGAAGTTCTCTGAGTGCCTCTGAGAAACAAGGGGCCGTGTGCCGCCCAGCCAACGTTTCCTTCGTTTGCTGCCGGGCCACCGCTGCCTCGGCACTTTACTTGCCCGGGAGGTCTCCACAGGGGACTGGGGCTCGGTCGCCCGGAGAGGGAGCCCTCGCGGCCCCCTTCCCGTCGCCCACCCCTGTCGCTCCTCCGTCCCGCCCGCCGAGGAGGCGCGTTTTCTAGACAGGCAGCGCCTTGGCCACCTGGCAGGGCTGGGTCGCCTAGCAACGGCGGGGTCCTTCCTGGCTCGGCGGCGCTCGGGGCCTGAGGGGAGAAAGCGGCCGCGGAGGGCGCCGGGGCCCGGTGGCGGCGGCGGCGCAAGAGGCGGCAACCGGACGGCGGCGCGGGGTTGGCGCGCCCCGGAATCCGGCCTCTGCACTTGAGAGGAGATGAGCTCGGCCGACAAGGCCCGGGTGGGGCCCGCGGCCGACGGGCTTGCGCCGCCGGAGGAGGAGGAGGGCGAGGGGGGCGGCGAGGCGGGCGGGAAGGAGCCAGCGGCAGACGCGGCCCCCGGGCCCAGTGCCGCGTTCCGGTTCCTGGTGAGTCGGCGGGAGCCGGCCGTGAAGCTGCAGTATGCGGTGAGCGGCTTGGAGCCGCTGGCCTGGTCCGAGGACCACCGCGTGTCCGTGTCCACGGCCCGGAGCATCGCTGTGCTGGAGCTCATCTGCGACGTGCACAACCCGGGCCAGGACCTGGTTATCCACCGCACCTCGGTGCCCGCTCCTCTCAACAGCTGCCTCCTCAAAGTAAGTCATCCCCCGGACCCCAGCAGGTCCAGGGGGTCCTTCTGCCTCCCTCCCACGGCCGCGTTACCCGTCCCTGGGGAGTCTTGGCCTGCTCCCACTCCGGGGATTCCCCTCGTCGCATCCCGCGCTTGGGGCTGAGGGCCGGGGTCGCCGTATTTAAAAACAGAAAACCTCGCAGCCGTTCGCGCCCAGTTTTCCAGATCACCCACCCCCTTCCGATGCACACAGGTATCCCCGGAGCTTTCGTCGGAGCCAGGTCCTTCCTTGGCCCCGGCGCCGGCCCCACTGCTGGCGCTGATGCCTCTCGGTGGTGCCTTCTGAGACTCCACCCCCTTTGACCCAACCCCAGACCTCGCCTCTACAGTTGCTCCCATTGTTTGGAACCGACTCCCTGGGCCCTTGTCTGGCTTTGTTTACCGTGACGTACCCTCCTCCTGTGCCGCTTCTGCTTTGGAGAAGACAATTTGGTCCTTCTCGTTGCCTCAGCTATCTTAGCGACTTTAGTATATCAATGTTCCTTCTCACCTTGAGCAGCTGGGTGCTCCAGGGTTTTCCTTTCACAGCGGGAAATCTTTGGGATTGGCATGGACAGGAAAGCTTCCGGAGATAAATGCGGTTCTCGGATTTCAGGGCCTTTGTGGACATTTAGTGCTTTCAGCTTCATATAAGCCAAGTTTGCCTTCACAACTTTAGGGTTCCTAGTTTTACTGTTTTAGTATCACTATCTTCAAATTTATTTTTTTCCCCAGATAGTAAGTCATATCATTCATTAGTGGTTTTAAAGTATAAAAACGTTTCCTGTCTCCTTTATAAATCTTTATGCGTGTATGTGATCTATAAGGAGTGTGTATTTATTCGTTCCCCGGATACTTGAATAGCACCGTATATGAGCTAGGTGCTGACCTCGGTTCTGGAAATAAAGCAGCGTACCAAGCCAAGTGCCTGCCTTCATGGAGCGTACATTCTTTGGCAAGTCATGAACAAGTACGACTGTAATATCAGGCGGTGATAAGCACTGTAAAGGTGTATATCTATGCCCAGCAAATGTATTTATGTGAAAGTGGAAGGTTTTTTTTTTTTTTTTAAGATTTTATTTATTTATTTGACAGAGATCACAAGCAGGCAGAGAGGCAGGCAGAGAGAGAGGAGGAAGCAGGCTCCCTGCTGAGCAGAAAGCCCGATATGGGGCTCGATCCCAGGACTCTGAGATCATGACCTGAGCCGAAGGCAGCGGCTTAACCCACTGAGCCACCCAGGCGCCCCGAAAGTGGAAGGTTTTAAAACTTTTTTTTGCACTGCCATTTTAGACACGAATCATTAGCTGTGGCTAGGGAGCAGGGAGCCCACACCACCTTTTAATTTTTTTAGCACACTTAAATGTTTTATATTTATTTTTTTTTAAGATTTTATTTTTATTTATTTGTCAGAGAGCGAGCGAGCACAGGGAGGCAGAGAGGCAGGCAGGGGCAGAGGGAGAAGCAGGCTCTCCGCCGAGCAAGGAGCCCGATGTGGGACTTGAACCCAGGATGCTGGGATCATGACCTGAGCCGAAGGCAGCCGCTTAACAAACTGAGCCACCCAGGCGTCTCACACTTAAACGTTTTAAACAAACAGTTTGTTGCATTCAATCACTGGTAGACTGATAGGACTAAAACCTGAAAATCTTCTTGGAGAAAATATGAACAAATTGGCTCGAGTATAACCACATCAGGTAGACAGATATTGTTAATACTGTGAAATTGAGAAACAGATGGAGGCAGAAGAAAGTGGCTTAAAAGGTATAGCCTTACCATTTCTAAGGATGTTCATGTGTACACGAACTAGAGAAAACTTTAAGTGTGTGTGTCCAACGTGGTCCAGATTTAATGATTTAGCAAGGAGAATTTTTTCAATTTAATTTTTTTTAAAAGATTTTGTTTATTTACTTGACAGAGAAAGACAAGTAGGCAGAGTGACAGGGAGAGAATCAGGCTCCCTGCTGAGCAGAGACAAGGATCTGGGGCTCGATCATAACTCGAGCCAAAGGCAGACACTTAACTGATTGAGCTACCCAGGTGTCCCAGCAGAGAGGATTTCTCAAGTGGGGGAAAGAGCAGAGGGAGAGGGAGAGACTCTTAAGTAGGCTCCGTACTCAGTGCAGAGCCTGTCACAGGGCTCAATCCCACGACCCTGA